GTCTGGCAGCTCGGCTGTTAAGCAAAACAATTGCTAAACGAAGCCGCAACTCTCTTTACAACCTTACCTGACTTTTTATTTGTTTTGGAGCTGTGATTCTCACCCTCAACCACTTTAAGATGGAGGGACTTCAAACTTCCAAAAGCCTACCAGAGAATTATGGGAGTTGGAATCCCTACATCTTAAAAGTTGCCATGATTGAGTAACACTCCTTTACAAACGTGCGGTTGTAAATGTGAGGATTGATTGCAAGGTTACTTTTTCATCGCTGCTGTGATTGTGAACGTTTGCTAAACGAGGAGGTCACTAAATGAGGACTAACTATATATATGTTTCTAAGGTTACTAGGAGTTTGTGAGCTCAAGTCTTAATAAGTGGCTGAGCAGATCCTCGAATAGCAGCCAAGTGGCAAATGTTTTTCCTTTCCAATTTGCAAAAATGAAAAATCTTTGGAGCAAATAGCAACCTCTAAACGTTGTAAAGAAACAAGCCAGCAACAAAAACTTCCTTGATCACTTTAACAAAAGCTTCCTTTGCAGACAGCCACAGAAAATTATCTTTGCATTCCGTTTCCTTTTTTCAGGCCAAGGAATTGTTGAGAAAGTTACAACTGGGCTGTTCTGATCTGCTGTTCAGTAACGATTAATTATTGGCATCGATGTAAAAATAAATAAATAAATATAGAGGTTTTGTTTTTGGGGATGTGTGTGGGACTGATTTTGCAATCCGCCTTCCTATTTTTCGCGATGAAAAATAACATACGTTCTTATTAATTATAATGCTAATTTTAATTGCAAACGCTTTTCAAACGCTTTTTATCTTAATTTATCCATAATCAAATAGTATTGTTTCTTTTGTTTGGCTGAGGCTGAGATCGCTGTGCAATATTGTCTAATTAATATTTTGCTTTCTCCTCTAAATCTTTCTGCAGATATTTGCAGAGGAGAAACACACAAATTATCCTGTGTCTGCGTGTGTAACACTGAACAGCTCTGTGCTTGGATATTAAGCTTGATCCGATGCTGATTTCTTTTGAAGCTCAACTTTGATCAAAATTGTATATTAACTTACTTCGTTTCTTTTTATATCAGCAAAATCTAAGTCATTCCAAACTTTAAAGCTTGAGAATATTGCAAACCAGCAAAACATTGAATAAATCTATCTACGTGGTCGCTAGGAGACAAAAAATGACTTGATGGCACCTAATCAAAATATCATAAAATTTTGTATTAAGAACCTGGGGCTTTTTTAGAAAGTCAATGCATGTTATCCAAGTTGGAACACAAGAGAAAAATCTTTGGATGCCTTTTATACATACATTTAACATGGCTCAAAATAAAATGTGGTTTTTCACTTCAATTAAGCAATTGCCTATGAAGACTTTTTTGGGTCTTTTAATAAACATTTCTTTATTGGAGTGTATATGTTTTATAGGGGAAGGTACTTGAGAGATTATGAAATTACAATCCCAGCAGCCTTTGCAACATAATTTACAGCTGCTGGAAATTCAACTCCCAATGCCTCCTTCTTTCAACCCTTGACTTACAACAGATCATTCAGTGACTGTTTGAAGTTACAACAGCACTAAAAAAAGTGACTTACGACCATGTTTCCCATTTAACGACCGTTGCAGCATCTCCATGGTCACGTGATCAAAATTCAGACATTTGGCAACTGACTCGTATTTATGATAGTTGCAATGTCCCGTGATCATATAATCCCTTTTTGTGACCCTTTTCCAGACAACGAGAGAGGGAATAGTATAAACATCCAACACATATATATATATTTTTTTCTTTCCAGTCAGCAATCAGTTGAAGTTTGAGGTGCAACTTGTCAGTTTTAGGAACTGTCTCAATAATTTCTTCATAAGAGCCTTAGCACATTACAAGCATTGGCCCACAAAACTGCATGTCAGTTCACCAATGCTGGTGGTTAATAACCACACCACGCTTTGTGGCGACGAGAACGTTTTGCAACGTTTTTGCAAATACCACAGCAGCAGTGCCCGGTGCTAGAGAGAAAAAGGTGCTTGCACAAAACTGCTAGGAAGACTTCGGTGAGCTTTTGGTTGCAAAAACTGAGTTGGGAGTGAAATTTTTGCTGTTCTCAGAAGGATTAAACGCCACCATTTCCCATGATTTGTGCCCAGGCTGAGAATCCAATAAAACGTGCTAGACGCTCAGTGGAGGTCCAAGGAAATATATTTATTCACCCCAAACTTGTCAAGTCAGATCGGGTGGGGATCCTGCTGGTCTGTTCCTCTGTCTCCTTTCTGACAGGTTTCTAGTTTAAAGATTTGGCCAACCATTATCCACAGAAGAGAATATGCATGCTTATAACAATAGTTCATGTGTTATTGATATGAACATTTACCTTCTATTCAATCCTTCCTTCTTTCCAGTCTGTTAAATCAGATTTGTCCTTATCTGTAGTTAGACACAATGGACATATAAATGGGCACTTTATTTTTCTTATACATATTTATTTTATTAGTTATTAAATGTGTTCGCCGCACGTCTCGCCACAAGGCGACTCTTCCTACACGTATGTCTTCCTTTCCACAGGATTTATTTATTTCCCACCGTTATTATTTTTATACATAACTCAAGGTGACAAACATATCTAGCACTTCTTCGTCTTCCTGTTTTTCCCATAACAACCCTGTGAGGTGGGCTGGGCTGTGAGAGAGGGACTGGCCCAAAGTCACCCAGCCAGCTTTCACGCCTAAGGCGGGACTAGAACTCACTGTCTCCTGGTGATTGGCCCAAAGTCACCCAGCCGACTTTCATGCCCAAGGCAGGACTAGAACTCACGGTCTCCTGGTGATTGGCCCCAAAGTCACCCAGCCAACCTAAGGTGGGACTAGAACTCGCAGTCTCTTGGTGATTGACAACCATTTGTCTGAAATGGTATAGAGTTTCCTGCTCAAGCAGGAGGCTGGACTAGAAGATCTCCAAGGTCCCTTCCACATACTGTATGTTATTTTATTATTCTGCTGCCAATGTTTCTTTTTTTGTGCTGGTCCTCGGCTGTGCCTTTAAGAACAGCCGACCTAGTTTCTTGATGGAGAAAAAGTTTCGTCCTTTCCTTTTTCCAGGTTGAGAAAAAAAAACTGCACCCACATAATTTCTGCCTGTTGACAACCTGTTCTTAAAGGCACCTGAGAACTGGCAAGGCGCAGCATGCATTTTAATTATGCGGCCCACACTGGATGCGTTCCAGTTTTGTGGACAAGCCCAGGAGAGCAAAGGGACAGGAAGGGTTGCTTTCGGGAAGTTTTCTAATTGCAAGCGCTGATCATTAGCCAACCCACTAAAAAAATGCAGAAGTAAACGCTCTCGAGTGTGCAAGCCGAATGTAGAGAAAAGGTTCAGCTGGAATCAAGATTAAGAAGAAGTCAGAATATGGCAGTTTGATCTGAAGGGAGGAACAGTTAACAGAATACCAGAATTGGGAAGGGACCTTGGAGGTCTTCTAGTCCAACCCCCTGCTCAGGCAGAAAACCCTATACCAGGGGTAGGCAACCTTGGCTCTTTTATGACTCGTGGACTTCAACTCCCAGAATTCCTGAGCCAGCCATGCTGAGGGGAAAGGGAGAGGTTTCCAAGCTGAGACATGTTGGCTCAGGAATTCTGGGAGTTGAAGTCCATGAGTCATAAAAGAGCCAAGGTTGCCTATCCCTACCATTCAGACAAATGGTTGTCCAATCTGTTCTTAGAAACTTCCAATGTTGGAGCACCCACAACTTCTGGAGGGAAGTTGTTCCACTGATTAATTGTTCTCACTGTCAGGAAATTTCTCCTTGTGGATTAGTTTCCATCCGTTGCTTCTTGCCCTGCCTTCTGGTGCTTTGGCAAATAGGTGGACCTCCTCTTCTTTGCGGCAGCCCCTCAAATATGAGCCGAGGTGGCGCAGCAGTTAAGAGTGCAGTACTGCAGGCCACTTTAGCTGACTGTGTTCAGCAGGTCAGCGGTTCAAATCTCACCGGCTCAAGGTTGACTCAGCCTTCCATCCTTCCGGGGTAGGTAAATGAGGACCCAGATTGTTGGGGGCAATGTAAATATATATATATATATACATTGCTTACTGGTGTACACCGCTTAGAGTGCTTGCACTTAAAGCGGTATATAAGTCTCATAAATAAATAAATAAACAAACAAACAAATAAATAAATACTGGACCAGTGCTATCATGTCACCCCTAGCCCTCTTTTCTCTGCTTCGGTCATTCAATCAGCCAGCCAGCCATGTCCTCTTCTAAAGAACACACTTTAATTCTCCCTCCCTCCCTCCCTCCCTCCCTCCCTCCCTCCCTCCCTCCCTCCCTCCTTCTCTTTCTTTTTTCTTTTTTTCCACATCAATCATTCCACCTTCAAAAGCCAGGTAGATGTGACGGCAATGTAGGGTCAAGAGTCGAGATGGGGACACCAGGGTGCATCCGTGAGGTATTTTTTCAACTGAAATGTGAGAATCTCATCTTTTACCTAGATCGCAAACATCTTGGTTCCGCCCTGTGACCCTTTTACAGCGTGTCTTACTTTTTGACCCAGCTTGGAAATTTCCTAGCCTGGACAGAATCTCCCTTATTCTTTCATCTCCTTTAGAAAGACGACGTTACAGGCGGTCAAGACAGGTGCCCCATCCTTAGAAAAGGGTGGGCCTTTATTTCAAACCACACTCCCCCCCCCAAAAAAAAACTATAGAATGAAAATAAACCAGATTCAATGAGATAGGATTGTTAATAAGATGGTGTAGAGCAGTGGTTCTCAACCTTTTTAATGCCGCGACCCCCAACCGGTCTTAAGTCGAGGACTACTCAACCGGTCGTAAGTCGAGGACTACTCAACTGGTGCAGCACCGTTTGCAGAATGGGACTTTTGGCGGGCTCAGCAGGGCAGAGACAGCCTGGACAATTCCTATTGGCTTTCGAAAGCCAATAGAATTAGACTCTGTTCAAGAGAGTCTATTCTATTGGCTTTCAGAAGCCGATAGAATAAAAGGAAGTAGCACAGCTAAGGAAAAGGGGGGAAAAATGGCGGACTGGGTTGTTTGGCGACCCCTGTGAAATGGTCGTTCGACCTCAAATGGGATCCCGACCCACAGGTTGAGAACCACTGGTGTAGAGAAGCAAGGAGGACATCAGATGGGAGATGTCTGCAGATGTAAAATGGGATTAAGTAGGCTTCCTCTTGGAGACAAGAACCCAAAGTTGCTGAAATCTTCAAGGGAATGTCCTCAACCATGTTCTGGCTGTCTTGGAGGAGCCAATCTTCTAGGCTGACCATCTGGTCTCAAAGCTGAGGTCAGCTAGACACCTGTGCACGATCCACACACAGGGAGACACATCTGGAGAGAACATGGCTTTTTTTTTTCTCTGTATGTGAATTATTTGGGGTCCTCAGAATTTTTAGAACCATGGCATGGTCAGGTCTGTATTGAGTGACAGCCCTGCCTGTCCATTTCTTCTTCCATCCCTTTAGATCTTCTAAATCGTGGCCCACCTTTTGGGTGAACAATGATGGCCAACTGGCTGCCCAATTCTGTTTGACTCCATCCCATCAAGAGACAGCCTTGGGTTCAATAAAATCCGGATTTAACAATAGGTTAAAGTTAGTTGCTGTATTCATAGTCTAGCAAAGAAAGACTCTTGGATCGCAGGAAGGTAGAAATATTTGGATGACAGTACTTTGTTTTCATGCTCGGATGGGTCATTATCCGAGATGATCCCAGAATCAGGGATCTCTCAGCAATAGCATCACCTCTTGATTTCAGAATAAATCGACTCATTTCTGTAGAGCAAATCCTTAAAAAAGAGAGAAAAACATCAATAAATAAAGTTGCACACCATCGGCATTGCCAAAATCACCACCAGTCAATTGCAAAGGAAAGCTTGATTTGGAATAGCTGACATCCTGGAATGTTAACTTTTAACCCCACCAAACATCCACATCTGCCTATCGCAGGTCCTTGGGAAGCCAATAGGTGGATGAAAATGCCTAATCCAATCTGAACATCTGGCTGACAAAAATGTGGTTGAATGTCCTGCTTTGGATACCACGAAGCCTCTTCCGAGAAAGTAATAAGGGAACACAATCAAACAACAACACCTGCCTATCCCAGATCCTTGGGAAGGACTTGGCAGGTAGACAAAAATCTAGTCTAAACATCTGACTGACTGTGCAACCATCAATACAGGTAAGTCCTCAACCTACGATCAAAACTGAGCCCAAAATTTCGGTTGTTAAGTGAGACATTTCTTAAGTGAGTTTTGCCCCATTTTATGACCTTTCTTCCCTCAATCGTTAAGTGAATCATTGCAAATGGTAAGTTAGTAACAGGGCCGCAAAGCGAATCCCCCTTAACTTTGCTAGTCAGAAGGTCACAAAAGGAGATCACATGACCCCGGGACACTGCAACCGTCATAAGTGTGAGTCAGTTGCCAAGCATCCGAATTTTGATCCCATGGCCATGAGGATGCTATAATGGTTGTAAATGTGAAAAACGGTCATAGCATAAGCTACTTTTTGCAGTGCCGTTGTAACTTCGAACAGTCACTAAATGAACTGTCGTAAGTCAAGGACGACCTATGATTTATAAGGATCTGTTGGAAGACTGGCTGAAAGATTGCTTACAACATGTTTTCACGTCGGTTTTGTGCTTGTTATAGATTAAGCCACATGGAAGTTTTGCTCAGAATAATCAGCTGACTTGGAACGTACCATATAGTTGGAGTCCAACGTGGGGCAAGTCCTTGGAAGAGGCTGAAAAGGAGAGATAAATATATAAACATGGGGGGGGGGGAAATCCCTTAAATCTGGAAAACCAAGACTCCTTTTTTTAAAAAAATAAACAAACCGTTTCCTTTCCAGATTTTTTTTACTTTGCATTTTAAAAAGAGATGTTCAAGAGTCATTAAGCCAAGCAGGGCAAAACAAAAAACAAAAAAACGAAAAAAATCAACAGGGCAGCCACAGGGCGCAATTGAAGCTCCACCCATTTTTATGCAAATTGCCTGGGCCCATTTTAAACCTGGGCGGGGCTTTGGTTTTTACATGGGGAGGTTTTGCAAAGGCTCGCCTTTTGCAGTGAACCTCCCCTTGTTTCGTGTGCTTTTTTTTTTTACAGTTTTATAGTTTTTTTAAAAAAATTGACTGTTTTATATGTATTTATTGGAGCCGTTGTATGCCACCTAGAATCTCTTTCAGGTGTGATGGGCAGCTATACAAATATGAAATAGAAATAGATAGAGATGAGGCATAGATAGATAGATGGATGGATGGATAGATAGGTAGGTAGGTAGGTAGGTAGGTAGGTAGGTAGGTAGGTAGATAGATAGATAGATAGATAGATAGATAGATAGATAGATAGATAGATAGATAGATAGATAGATAGATAGATAGATAAATTGACTGATTGATAGATAGACAGAGAGAGAGAGACAGACAGACAGAGAGACAGATAGATGATAGACAGACAGACAGACAGATAGATGGATGGATAGATGGATAGATAGATAGATAGATAGATAGATAGATAGATAGATAGATAGATAGATAGTAGATAGATGATAGACAGACAGACAGACAGGCAGACAGATAGGCAGGCAGGCAGGCAGGCAGACAGACAGACAAATAGATAGATAAATAGATAGATAGCTAGATAGATAGCTAGATAGATAGATAGATAGATAGATAGATAGATAGATAGATAGATGATAGACAGACAGACAGATAGATGATAGACAGACAGATAGATAGGCAGGCAGACAGACAGACAGACAGACAGATAGATAGATAGATAGATGATAGACAGACAGACAGACAGACAGATAGATGATTGACAGACGAGAGAGAGAGAGAGAGAGAGAGAGAGAGAGAGAGAGAGAGAGAGAGAGAGAGAATGGGACCTCAGTCTGTGGAATCTTCTTCTCCAGGAAACATAGATCCCTCTTCTGAAGTCACAACTCCTGAATCTGGCCCATGTTGGGCTCTGCCCATCCCCTGAGCCCTCAGCCTCCTTCCCTGTTCAATCTCAAAAGAAAGCCAGGAGAAGACAGGTGGAAACTCACCGGAAGAGGGCTGGAGAGCGGGAGTGGATCCATCGGTGTTCCTACTGGGGAATCAAACACCTCATAAATGGGTTCCTTGTCATCTGGAGAACAAAAGAAAAAGGGATCCGGTCATCACTAACCCACCTGGAGAGTCGTAATGGTATGTGGGAATGACCCTGGGAAAGGAAGACCCTAGGACGCTCCAAACAGCCCTTATTATTTATTGTTTTATTATTTTAACGGTACAGGTCGTCCTCAACTTACAACAATTCGCTTAGTGACCATTCAAAGTTACAACGGCACTGAGAAAAAGGGACTCGTGACCATTTTTCACACTGAACGACCGTAGCAGCCTGACCAAAGTTCAGACGCTTGGGAAGTGACTCACATTTATGACGGGTTGCAGTGACCTTCTGACGAGCAAAGTCAACGGGGGAAGCCGGATTCGCTTAACGACCGTATTACTGAGTTAACAACTGCAGCGATTCGCTTCACAACGGTGGCAAGGGAGGTCGTAAAATGGGGGCACAATTCACTTGACAAACGCCTCACTTAACAACAAATATTTCAGGCTCCGTTCTGCTCCTAAGGCAAGGACTACCTCTACTAGTTTGAAGCTTTGTAAGATGGCCAGAGTACTCTGATGAGATGGGTGACAGATAAATTGGATGTATGTATGTATGTATGTATGGATGGATGGATGGATGAGTGCCAAGTACCCCAAATACAATCACGTGACTGCAGGCGGTGGGGCAGCCATCAGAACTTTGAATCTGGGATAGAGTGGAGTGGAATGAAGAATAGAATAGAATAGAATAGAATAGAATAGAATAGAATAGAATAGAATAGAATAGAATAGAATAGAATAGAATAAGCAACAGAAAATAGAATAGAATAGAATAGAATAGAATAGAATAGAATAGAATAGAATAGAATAGAACAGAATAGCTGAGTTGGAAGGGACTTTGGAGGTCATCTAGTCCAACCCCCTGCTCAGGCAGGAAACCTTATACCATTTCAGACAAATGGCCGTCCAGTCTCTTCTTAAAAACTTCCAGTGTTGGAGCATTCACCGCTTCTGGAGGCAGGTTGTTCCACTAGTTAATTGTTCTAACTGTCAGGAAGATTCTCCTTAGTTCTAGGTTGCTTCTCTCTTTGGTTAGTTTCCATCCATTGCTTCCTGTCCTGCCTTCAGGCGCTTTGGAGAATGGCTTGACTCCCTCTTCTTTCGGGCAGCCCCTGAGATACTGGAACACTGCTATCATGTCCCCCCCTCGTCCTTCTCTTCGTTAAACTAGACATCCCCAATTCCAGCCACCATTCCTTGTAAGTTTTGGCCTCCAGTCCCCTGATCATCTTTGTTGCTTGGTACCTTCCGGGGGAGAGGGGTGGTAGTGAGTCCACCATAACTTTGAATGGTCGCTAAAAGATCAGTCATAAGTTGAGAACTACCTGAAGCACACTCACCGTGTTTCGATGAAGGTGACTTTTTTACTCCTAGATCCAATTTTCCTGCTGCCCTAAAAAAAAGAGAGAGAGAGAGAGAGAGAGAGAGAGAGAGAGAGAGAGAGAGAGAGAGAGAGAGAGAGAGAGAGATTGGGCTGGATGAAATGAGGATTGGTCAACATTTCTTTGGCACGCTTGCCCCGATGTGCAGATATGCTCATTGTTGACGGGGGGGGGGGTGTATGAGTGGGGGTGCCTCCTTCCTTCCTAGAACCATACCTGAAAGGGGTCATTCTCCCTCCCACCTGAATCCCAGCCACACTTGCTCAACACCCCTGTCGTTTCAAATTTCAACATCTAGCAGTGGTTCTCAACTTGTGGGTCGGGACCCCATTTGGGGTCGAACGACCATTTCACGGGGGTCGCCAAACAACGCAGTCCGCCATTTTTTCCCCCCCTTTTCCTTAGCTGTGCTACTCCCTTTTATTCTATTGGCTTTTGAAAGCCAATAGAATAGACTCTCTTGAATAGAGTCTAATTCTATTGGCTTTCAAAAGCCAATAGGAATTGTCCAGGCTGTCTCTGCCCTGCTGAGTCCGCCAAAAGTCCCATTCTTCAAACAGTACTGCACCAGTTGAATAGTCCTCGACTTACGACTGGTTGAGTAGTCCTCGACTTACGACCGGTTGGGAGTCGCGGCATTAAAAATGTTGAGAACCACTGATCTAGAGAGACCTGATTAGGATTGCAGCAGAACTGGGAGGGGGGGGGGAATTCAGAAGCCCTTACCCCAGGGGTGTCAAACTCAATTTCATTGAGAGCCACATTAGCATTGCGGTTGCCCTCGGGGTGTGTGTGGCCAGGGTAGGTGTGGCCTACTGGGTGGGCGTGGATGGAGTGGGTGTGGCCTACTGGGTGGGCATGGCCAGCTCTGCATCATTCGCGTCAAGGGTGCCCGTGGGGGCCTGGGCAGGTGTGGGACAGATCTGAGGGTCTCTGGCAGAAGGGGGGGGGAACGGGGCAAGCGCCAAGGCATGGTCCATTTCTTCATTCCTCACAAAGGGTGACCCCTCCCCAGCATGCACCCAGGGGGCGGGGCCGACACGGCAGGGGCTGGTTCCTTGCTGTTTCCGGACGGCCTTGTGGAGCTAAGACTGAATGCGTTTCAGCATCGATGGCCACCACAAAATTGTACATTGGCTCCTGGCCAGCCTGGGCCAGGGCCAAGGCAGCGGGGGCCGTTCCCTCACTGTTTCCAGGATGGCTTCGCGGGCCACGTGAAACCACTTCGCGGGCCACATCCGGCCCCCGGGCCTCGTGTTTGACATGTCTGTCTTACCCTGTGCTGGGTTCCGATTTCCGTAAAACAAACCGGTAAACCATCGCCGCTCCGACGGCACCGCACAGCAAAATGCCAACCAGCACGCCGGCCACGATCCAGCCCAACTGCGAAGGCCCTTTGGGAACCTCCTTAATGGGTGGGGACCCCGTGGTGGCTTTTGTCAGCATTGTTGCTGTTGTCGCCGTTGTCGCCGTTGTCAGAGGGGGTGCTAGAATGGACATAAGGACAGAGGTTCAAGGCCAACCATTCCTGACCCCGCAATAGCCAGGGAGGCTTTATTTATTTATCTATTTATTTATGAGACTTATATACCGCTTTTAAGTGCGAGCACTCTCTAAGCGGTGTACACCAGTAAGCAATATATATATATATTTACATTGCCCCCAACAATCTGGGTCCTCATTTTACCTACCCCGGAAGGATGGAAGGCTGAGTCAACCTTGAGCCGGTGAGATGTGAACCGCTGACCTGCTGAACACAGTCAGCTAAAGTGGCCTGCAGAACTGCACTCTTAACTGCTGCGCCACCTCGGCTTTGAAGTTGTTTTACATGTGACTGTTCGGTCAACTGCCTTTCAATGGCTGGGCCTCAGCTGAAACTGCCTGGATATTCAATAGCTTAGTTAGGTGAGGATTTTGATTGCATCTGAGACTAGGGTGGTTCAACCTCAGCAATTTTAAGATGGGTGGACGTTGATTCCCAGAATTCCCCAGGCAGCGTGCTTTGAGATGAGTGGACTTCAACTCCCAGAATTCCCCAGCCATCATATTTTAAGACAGGGGTCTTCAAACCAGTGGAACAACCTGCCTCCAGAAGCGGTGAATGCTCCAACACTGGAAGTTTTTAAGAAGAGAGTGGACAGCCATTTGTCCAAAATGGTATAGAGTTTTCTGCCTGAGCAGGGGGTTGAACTAGATGACTTCCAAGGTCCCTTTCAAATTATTATTATTATTATTATTACTTGGCCCTTTTATGACTTGTGGACTTCAACTCCCAGAATTCCCCAAGCAGCATGCTTTAAGATGGGTGGACTTCAACTCCCAGAATTCCCCAGCCAGTCAGCATATTTTAAGAGAGGTGTCTTCAAACTTGGCCCTTTTATGACTCGTGCACTTCAACTCCCAGAATTCCTCAGCCAGTGTCCCTGAGCCAATTCCCACATGCTGAACCACCTTTAGGGATTTTTTCTTTTCTTTTCAGGGATTCACCCAGCTTATCAAACACTTAGGAGGCGAGGGCTTGGCAATAATGCCTCTTACTAAGACAATTGTATTAAGTGAATTTTGCTCCGTTTTATGACCTCCCTTGCCACCGTTGTTAAATGAATCACTGCCGTTATTAAGTTGGTAACACGGTTGCTCACGCCAGGACACTGCAACCGTCATCAATATGAGTCAGCTGCCAAAGGTCTGGATTTTGATGACATGTCCATGGGGAGGCTACAACGGTCATAAGTGTGAAAAAATGGCCACAAGTCTTTTCTTTTTTTTCAGTGTCGTTGTAACTCCGAATGGTCACTGAACGAATTGTTGTAAAGCAAGGACCTGTACTCACCAGTATTAGTTAATCGAAGATCAATGGAGGCGTTGAGGATTTCTTTGGGCCGCAGAAGGATCACAACGTTGTATCGCCCAGCGTCGCTGGCCTTGAGCCCAGTGATCCGCATAGATCCATTGTGGAAACCATCTTCTCTGTTGGTAAATTGAACCCCGTTGCGTTGTGGACGATAGTTTCCGGGAAAGAAGCTGAAGATCCTGGAAGATCCTTGAGAGGCCGCCCCTCGGTACCAATTGATCTCCTGGATGTCACCCTGCACTCTTTCCACAGAGAAGGTGACATTCTGGCCTTCGGCCGGGGTCTCCGGGATGGACACAATATCGATCGTTCTTGCCTGGACCAGAATAATCCATAGGGCCAGGAAACAGGCTGTGGGGAGAAGAGAGAAAGGGGAATTTTGGCTTGTATGTTATATTTCCACCACACTGTCTAGTTCAGTGGTTCTCAACCTGTGGGTCGGGACCCCATTTGGGGTCGAACAACCATTTCACGGGGGTCGCCAAACGCAGTCCGCCATTTTTTCCCTCTTTTCCTTAGCTGTGCTACTCCCTTTTATTCTGTTGGCTTTTGAAAGCCAATAGAATAGACTCTCTTGAATCGAGTCTAATTCTATTGGCTTTCAAAAGCCAACAGGAATTGTCCAGGCTGTCTCTGCCCTGCTGAGCCCGCCAAAAGTCCCATTCTGCAAACGGTGCTGCACCAGTTGAGTAGTCCTCGACTTACGACCGGTTGGGGGTCACGGTATTAAAAAGTTGAGAACCACTGGTCTAGTTGCAATCTCGTTTCACTGAAAAGGGCTCTCAGCCAGAAGAGACCCTTCCCATTTCAGGCACGGAGAACTGGTGACTCTGTAGATAACCCTAAACTATAGCTCCCAATATCCCTCACCACTGGGCATGATGGCTGGGGGACCTAGTAGCTCAGTAGTATGTGGTGGAGCAAGCTTCCCCGCCCCGTTCTGCCATCTTCTAAATCTAAAACAATGTTTCCCAACCTCGGTCTTGTGGAAAACGCAAGGACTCTTACGGATTCCAGAGGGTTTAGCAGAGAGATTGATTGATTGATTGATTGATTGATTGATTTAATGAGCTGAGGTGGCGCAGCAGTTAGAGTGCAGTACTGCAGGCCACTTTAGCTGACCGTGTTCAGCAGGTCAGCGGTTCAAATCTCACCGGCTCAAGGTTGACTCAGCCTTCCATCCTTCCGGGGTAGGTAAAATGAGGACCCAGATTGTTGGGGGCAATGTAAATATATATATACATTGCTTACTGGTGTACACCGCTTAGAGAGTGCTTGTACTTAAAGCGGTATATAAGTCTCATAAATAAATAAATAAATAAATAAATAAATAAATAAATAAATATTGCGCAGGTTCAGAAGCAAAAGCAACCAGCAATTCTGAACCCTGAGGGCGGACTCAGGCTTCAGTTTTATACTTTCTTTTTCTCAGGAACAAAAGACTTACACATTCTAATACACATTGTGATACATTAGGTCCGTTTCTCACGGGTATACAATGGAGAGTTTGCTACACACACTGTATCCAAATGCAATGCACATTAGGCTAGTCACATACTACTAACACAGCATTATTCCAGTAATTATGCAGACACATCATTATTTTAGTGATTGTTCATTATTATTCCACATTATTCCACCTTACCGGGAACTTGAAGACGGGTGGACTTCAGCTTCCAGAATTCTCCAGCCAGCCATGCTGGCTGGAGAATTTTGGGAGCTGAAGTCCTCCCATCTTCAAGTTCATTAGCATGCTGGCTGGGGAATTCTGGGAGTTGATTCCACCCATCTTCCAGTTCCCAAGGTTGGGAAACACTGTTCTAAAACAACCAGATTGTTTACCCACTTCTTTACCAGCAAATGGAAAGAGTTGCCTGCAGAAATTGTGGGGGCTCCATCACTGGAGGTTTTTAAGAAAAAGTTTGTTCAAAACCATTTGTTCAGAATTCTATAAGGTCTCCTGCAGAGGGCTAGACTAGAAGATCTCCAAGGTCTCTTCCAGGTCTGCATTTTGGTTACTCTCTCTTTAATAAGAGATCACTTAGATAATTAGAAAGGAATCGAACGTTGCATATTCGAGACCAATAAACAAAATGCTGTCCCTTATTAATAGGGCGGCTTCCAGCTTCTGAATTCGACTAACTAGCCAAAATTGTTGGAAGTCTCCAACAGTTAATCACTGTTCCACGTGACAAAAACCTAGCCAGTTTCATCGCAAGTCATGACCAGGCACGTCCTCATTAAAATTTCCCGTCCCTCATGTATGTTATTAGTTACGATAATTGGATGAAATTTGAATTCTGTCTAATGGATTGAAATAATTTAAAGTCCGATATTATTTTGCCAGCTTAAAGAGACTGATTAATTGATGGATTAGATATGTATAGGACAGATTAATAGTTTATTTTAAATAGGGGATATTAGTGGAAGAAGAAATAAATAAAGATTTATGATAAAATTAAGGAACTAGAATATATTTGGAAGGGATACCTGAATTGATAATGTTTTTATTTAAAGTTAATTTGATTACGGTACTGTACATTTATAAAGCTTTAAAACAGGTCTAAGTTGAACAAATTTAAGCTAGAATTGGATTGTTTTAAATATACTATGCTACTTGAGGGAAAAAGAGAGGGAATGTTTGATGTATTGATTGAACTATGTATATATGTTTTGTTTTTGGATGTTTGGTTACCCTAACACCACGGTGTGCCCTGAGTATTTTGTCTTAATAATTAAAATATCTAATAAAATTTGTTTAAAAAGAAAAAAATTCCTGTCCCTCCTTCCCAGGTCTGCCACTTACCTCTCAAGGAAAAGTACACATCAACAAACTCCTTCATTCTCTCCTTTGGCAAGGTATTTGTTGGAACACACAAATACAGAAGACAAATCGAAGCTTGAAAAGCGAGGGAGTCAGTCAAGCCCTTATATTCCAGCTTTGCTCCATTCTATGGGGAGAATACTTAGGGGCTCCCAAAACTACATCTGATCTTTCCAGCGTGCCACAATCCAGGTTGAGGTTTCTTCCGAGTCCTGACTGGCCTCTTGAGAGTGCAAAACCTTGGAAAGAAGGAATGTGAGAAGTGGCGTCAAACTCGCCCAAGCTTGACTGATTGTCTGCCAGGAATGTCCTGGAATATTAAGAGCCCATTTAGCCCCACCAAGAGGCCGGGTGACCAAGGGTTCCCCTCCCGAATGGGGGGGGGAGGGCAAAGTCCAGGTTGGCGAGAGATCTCCAACCTTAGGCAAGGATTCCAAGATCTTTCCCAACCTCAGAAAGCTCAGATTGCCCAAGGATCTGCTGATACAGTTCCACAGAGGAATAACTGAGTCTGCCATTTGTACCTCAATAACCGTCCGGTTTGGCACAGCATCCAAACAGGACAGGTATAGACTTCAGTGGATAGTTAGGACTGCAGAAAACACAATTGCAACTAGCCTGCCTTCCACTGAAGATTTGTACCCTGCACGAACCAGAAAGAGGGCTGAGAAAATATCTACGCACCCTTCACGTCCTGGATATAAACTGTTTCAATTTCTCCCCTCTAGATGCTGCTATACAGGGCATTATATGCCAAAACAATTAGACACAAAGATAGTTTTTTTCTCCCGTGCCATCACTCTGCTGGACACCTAATTTCCACAGCAGTCTCTTAACCCATGCCATAGGGCTGTATTGCTAATATCCTTGTCGTCTTCTCATCTTTCTTTTCTTTTCTTCTCATCTTTTCTCATCTTCTCGTCTTCTCCTATTGGTATCTATGATTATCACTTCTTGTTGTATCTTATGAATAATGATTGCAAATATGAGCTATGATATATGAGCTATCACTTGGTTGTTTGTAGGTACACTGAGAGTTTATGCACCGGAGATAAATTCCTTCCAATAACACTTGGCCAATAAAGAATTATCTATCTATCTATCTGTCTGTCTGTCTGTCTGTCTATTTGTCTGTCTGTCTGTCTGTCCGTCCGTCCGTGTCTCTCTCTCTCTCTCTCTCTCTCTCTATCATCTATCTATCTATCTATCTATCTATCTATCTATCTATCTATCTATCTATCTATTCTATTCTATCTATTCTATTCTCCATCTATTCTATCATCTGTTTGTCTGTCTGTCTGATCTATCCTATCTATCCTATCTATCTATCTATCTATCTATCTATCTATCCATCTATCTATCTATATCTATCTATCTATCTATCTATCTATCTATCATCTATCTATCTATCATCTATCTATCTATCTATCTATCTATCTATCTATCTATCTATCTATCTATCTCCTATCTATTCTATTCTATTCTATTCTATCATCTGTCTGTCTGTCTGTCTATCCATCTATCCATCTATCTATCTATCTATCTATCTGTCTATCTATATATCCATCTATCTATCTATATCTATCTTCACCAACTCCCTAGCTTTCTTGAGGTCCATAATACTGGGAAAAGTGAAAAGAAAGAGAAGAGGATGGACAACAGCAAATGGATGGATTCATCAGCTATGGATAAAATACTGGAAGACCTGAAGACCAGGATGGGAACAGAGCTTCCTGGAGAAAACTTAACTAAAAGCTTGAGAACACATAATCCATCAGTCTCCTAGCTCCAAAGTTCCTTTTTACTGTGAGGTCCCTGATACTCTCTGAGCATGGTGGTTTTCTTGCACAAATTTCATTCCCCGGGTAGGTAACATCAGCAGTGCTAGGAAAAGTTGCAGAAACCGTGAAGATGTTCTCACCTAGTTGGGTAATGAAACGTCTGCAAGAAAACCACCAAGCTCAGAGAACACCAGGAACCCCACAGTAGTGCTCCTCCACTCCACAAACCCCACTCCCTTCTAGCACTGATAATATTACCTAGTTGAGTCATGAAACATCTGCAAGAAAACCACCAAGCTCAGAGAACACCAAGGACCCCACAGTTCAAATTCCCTTTCATCAATTCCTCTTTACTTTCCAATGTCTAGACCGGCAGATGTTCTACTGTGGGATTCCAGACTTTCTCTACGTCTAATTTGGATAGGAATCTTCCCAAAGGATAATTCGGGAAAGATAAATTTGAGAGGAGAAACGATGAAGGTGGTCCTCAACAGCTGATATCTAGGGAAGTCTGTCCTTTGTTCTAATCCAGGGCTCTCCAGACTTGGGCAACTTTAAGACTTGTGGACTTCAAGCTCCCAGAATTCTCACGGCTGGCAAATTTTGGGAGTCAAAGTCCACAAGTCTTCAAGTTGCCAAGTTGGTGGACCCTGTCATGACCCAACTAGGTAACCTCATCAGTGCTAGAGGGGAGTGGGGTCTGCTCTCTGTGTTTGTCTCTATTTGTTCAGCCAGCTGTGGAATTCTGGGAGTTGAAGTTACAGGTATTAAAGTTGCCAAGTTTGGGGACCCCTGTTCTAAACATGCAACTACTCTTCTTGCCCCAGATCAGAATTCAAGATCTCTTAACCGGAGTTTCCTTCCGAACGATGTAATGCTCAAATCAGGTTTTCAAGATCCCATAGAAACTTCCCATTCCCTTCCAGCTCTACCCACTCTGCTCTACTCCCCTCCTGCTATGGAAAACAGCTCCGTTTTTCTCACCTTCAGCAAAGGAACTGAGTCTCCAGGGAGTCCCCCATCACGAGACCTTCATCCCTTGTTTTCCAGCTTCATGGCTCTCCAGTCTCCTTCCTTTCCTTCCTGCTTTACACCTACAGATTCCTGAGCTTCACCAGCTGAACCAGCTGGATTGCAGGATGACAGCCACAGGCGGAGCAGCTGCATTCATCTGGGTGTAGGAAGGAGTCTAAGGCTGCAGATATGTTGACTGCACTTGCACAACAGGCTTAAACAACAGAATGAACTTCCCCGAGACTTTGGATCAGAAACCAGTTAAAGGAGGCTGGACTTACATAGTCAAAACACGCTGAGCCTCAGGGGAAAAACTTAACCTACTAATTGTAGCCCCATCCAGCTTTTGCAAATCTATATTTAACACAGCTGGAAGGAGCCTTGAAGGTCTTCTAGTCCATCCACCTGCTCAGGCAGGAGAACCTATACCATTTCAGTCTCTTCTTTAAAACTCCAGTGTTGGAGCACCCACAACTTCTGGAGGCAGGCTGTTCCACTGGTTAATTGTCCTCACTGTCAGGAAGTCTCTCCTTACTTCTAGGTTGCTTCTCTCCTTGATGAATTTCCATCTGTTGCTTCTTGTCCTGCCTTCGGGTGCTTTGGGGAACAGGTTGACACACACACACACACACACACACACACATCTTTGTAGCAGCCCTTCCAATATTGGAAGGCTACTATCACGTCATCCATGGTCCTTCTTTTCGTTAAACTAGACATACCCTAAACTAAAGTAATAAATGAATGAATGAAAAAATAAAATAATAATAAAATAAAATAAAATAGAAAATAAAACAAAATAAAATAAGTAAAATAAAATAAATAAGTACAATAAAATAAAATAAGTAAAATAAAATAAGTTAATGAAATAAAATAATGAAATAAAATAAAATAAAATCAGTAAAATAATAAAATAAACTAGACACATATGTATGTATGTATGTATCTACCTATCTACCTATCTACCTATCTACCTATCTACCTATCTATCTATCTATCTATCTATCTATCTATCTATCTATCTATCTATCTATCTATCTATCTATCTATCTATCTATCTATCACAGGGCTAAACAGAAGAACCCTGACACTAACATCCCCTAAACCAGGGGTAGGCAATCTTGGCTCTTTTATGACTCATGGACTTCAACTCCCAGAATTCCTGAGCCAGCATGGCTCAACATGGCAACATCTCCCTTTTCCCTCAACACGGCTGGCTCAGGAATTCTGGGAGTTGAAGTCCACAAGTCATAAAAGAGCCAAGGTTGCCTTCCCCTGGCCTAGGCCTGTATTTCTCAACCTTGGCTCTTTTATGACTGGTGGACTTCAACTCCCAGAATTCCTGAGCCAGCCATGCTGAGGGGAAAGGGAGAGGTCTCCAAGCTGAGCCATGCGGACTCAGGAATTCTGGGAGTTGAAGTCCACCAGTCATAAAAGAGCCAAGATTGCCTATCCCTGCACTAGGCCTATTTTCTAGGTTCACATCATGGGTCTCCTCCCCAATTAAACCAATGGCTGGAATTCGCCCAACTTACCTTACCCAAAAGCAAACCAGCTTCTTCTTTTAACCAAGATGAACCTTCGCCCAACTTAGCCCTCTGAGTCAACATGTCAGTTAGTCATCTTCTGACCTGGTTAGAAGAGACTGATCCTCTTGGCGCAGAGTCGGTCATTAATCAGTCAAGCAAGGCCTCCTTATTTTATGTCTCGTTGACCTGGAATGTCATAGTCACAACAAAGGTTTTTCTGTGCTGGAAAATTGTGGGTTTGAATGACTCATGAGAAATTGCACATCGGTGGCGCAGGCGTTCTTTAAGAGCCCTTAAAAGCCATTGAGAATTCTTCATTTTGTTTTCATGCTCAGGCATAACTTCATTCAGAAGTTATAAGGAGAGAGAAATGCCTTCTGCACCTGCACAGAAACACCCTTGCTCCTTCCCTGGGAATGAAGAAATGCCTGCTTTGATGTGTCCGTTTTTTAAACACAAGAACAAACTATAGATCAGGGGTTCTCAATCTTGGCAACTTTAAGACTTGTGGACTTCAACTCCCAGAATTCCTTAGCCAGCTTTGCTGGCTGAGGAATTCTGGGAGTTGAAGTCTATACCTCTTAAAGTTCCCAAGGTTAATAAATGCTGCTCTAGGACAGGGGTCTTCAACCTTGGCTACTTTAAGACTTGTGGACTTTAAGACTTGTGGACTTCAACTCCCAGAATTCCCCAAGCACCTATAGATTGTTCTCATGTTAAAAAGTGGACACATCAAAGTTTTGCTGGCTGAGGAATTCTGGGAGTTGAAGTCCACAAGTCTTAAAATTGCCAAGGTTGAAGACCTCTGCTCTAGGAGATCTATTCTTAAAAGATAGCATCTTCAAGGGTTTTCCCAGATGCAGTCAAGCACCCAAACCCTGATTCTTAGTTTTGTAACCAAGATGTTAGGGTGCTTATGAAGGCATCCAATCAGGGGCTGGGTGAGGAATGGACTTCATTGTAACCTCAAAACTAACAACAGCAATATATTGACCTTTACTCAAGATGCTCTTTGTAATCCAAACAAATGGAGAACTGAGGAAGAGGTGGTGGCAACTCTTCTCCATGTGCTTTTAAACCTGGGGGGGGGGGAACAAGCCAATATTTAACCGCAGATCACAGAAGAGGGAAAAGTTTAATGCAGGAAGGCGTTTTTCTCCTGCAAGAGGAGAACGCAGCAGAGAGGAGAATGCACCTGCCAAGCCGTAGAGATAAAAACCAGTTTAGCCAGGATTGATAAACCAGTTTCGCTTGCTCAAGGCACGCATTAGCAATGCGGAGATAATGTATCCTTGCCACATCGTGCCAGCTGGGCCTGTGGTGATGGCCGCAGAGGCCAAATTGCCTTGTTTAAGGTGGATATGGCAGAACAAAGAAATGTTTGTTTTTTATTTTATTTGTTCAATTTCTACACCACCCATCTCACCTAAATGAGGGTGGGCGGCTTATAGCAATGGTCACTAAACCATCATAATAGTCCACTCCACCTACATGGGAGGTCTGTTTTAACCTGCTGCGTGCAAGATGGACTGAACGACAATGCCCATAATGGAAGCTATGGTCCCCTCCATTTGATAGGGGAAGCCAATTGTAGGCAAGGGTGTCCATGGAGAAATCTCTTTCTCCTCCTCCCTCCCTCTCTCTTTCTCTTTCTCCCCCTCCTCCTCCTTCTCTCTTTCTCTGTCTCTCTTTCTCCTCCTTCTCCCTTTCTCTTTCTCTCCTTTCCCTTCTCTCTCTGTCTCTCTTTCTCCTCCTCCTCCTCCCTCTTCTTTTTCTAGTTTTCTCTCTTTCTGTCTCTTTCTCCTCCTCCTCCTTCTCTCTTTCTGTCTCTCTTTCTCCTCCTTCTCTTTTTCTTTCTCTCCTTTCCCTTCTCTCTGTCTTTCTCCTCCTCCCTCTTCTTTTTTTAGTTTTCTCTCTTTCTGTCTCTTTCTCCTCCTCCTTCTCTTTTTCTCTCTCCTCTGTTTCCTCTCTTTCTCCTCTTCCCCTCCTCCTCCTCCTCCTCCTCTTCTTCTTCTCCTTCTCCTTCTTCTCTCTCTCTCTCTTTCTCCTCCTCTCTTTCTCTCCTCCTTTTCATTCTCTCTCTCTCTCTCTCTCTCTCTCTCTCTCTCTCTCTCTCTCTCCACATGTTCAATGACACCCTTGCTTCAGGCGCTTTGATGGCTGGTGGCTATTAGCTACTACAGGGAGTCTTCAACTTACAACCACAATTGGGACCAGACTCCCTGTTGCTAAACAAAGTAATTCTCGAGGGAATCACACTGTTTTATAACCATTTTTGCCATTAGGTGAATCTGGCTTGCCTCATTGATTTTGCTCATCAACAGCCAGCTGGGAAGGTTCCAAATTGCGATCACGTGACTCCGGGCACATCACAACCCAGGGTAAATGCACACCGGTTGTCAAGCGCCTGAAAGTTGATCATGTGACCGTGAAGATGCTGTCATGGTCGTAAGTGCAAAGACCAGCTGTAAGTCCCTTTTTTCAGTGCTGTTGTAACTTCAGACAGTCACTAAAAGACTCCTTGTAAGTCAGGGAATCACCTGGATGTCAAGGCTCCAACTAATGAAACACTTTAAAGAACTTCCAGGCATTGTTTATCCTAAAAAAACTTTAATTGTGAAACAAAGTGTCAGCACAGCCTGATGGATGCCAAGATCTGAATTCCCCTCCTCTAATTTGCAGTCATAAATCACATTCTCCAATTAGTTTGAAGGGCAAAGTTTCCCTTCCCTTCTGCAGCCCTTGGTTTCTTATCTTAACTAATCCCCACACACATTCTTTCTCCTCCCCTCCCAGCATCATTTAATTTAACTCTAAAAATACCACACAGTTTATGCAGAAAGTAGCTACCTCTTCATATTTTGTCAAAGCAAGAAGATCCAATGTTAGCAGCGTTGACAGTGTATATATACACCACCCGTTTGGGGAGGGGGCTTTCTGAGCAGGCATTTGGCAGCTCTGAATAATTGGGGGGGAGGAGAATGCTTCTTGCAAATGTCGCCCTTCCGCGCTATTTGATGTCAGCAAACATACACGTGAATTTGGATTGGGGGTCCCGAGAACCGCATGGCAAGGGGCTGTTCCTAGGCGACTCATGCGTTTTGCCAAAAGACATTTTAATGGCTGTGGGTGAAGGGAAGAAGCGAGGAAGGCAACAAAGAGAAACTCAGCGGCTGATCCCTTTTTTGGGAATCCCTCAGGGCTGACGAAATGCAGCTTCTTGGTTTCTCTTCCAAAGATTAAGATGCCAAAATGGACAGAAGCAACTTCGAAGCGTCTTTAGGCTGCAAAGTAAATAACAGCATGAATATTACTTTAGATTTCTGTTTAGGTATCAATTCCCTCTCTCTTTCCTATCATTCCCTTCCTTCCTTCCTTCCTTCCTTCCGCCCTTCCTTCTCCCTCCCTCCTTCCTTTCTACCTACCATTCCCATTTTCTTCCTTCCTCCTTCCCTCCCTTCTTCCTTCCTTCCTTCCTTCCTTCCCTCCTTCCTTCCTTCCGCCCTTCCTTCTCCCTCCCTCCTTCCTTCCTACCTACCATTCCCATTTTCTTCCTTCCTCCTTCCCTCCCTTCTTCCTTCCTTCCTTCCTTCCTTGAAGTGAAGCTCATAATAGATATTTTTTTTCTTTGCACCCTAGGAGAGAAATATCTGCTGCTAACTAGAACTGAACTCTCAGCCTTCCGAGTGGGAGGCAATGTGTTTATCAGTTGGCTCCTACTAATATTTTCCATCTCCTAACCCCACCCCAAATTTTCTCCCAAATATTCGTAGTCACCATCCTTGGCACTTACAGGAAACTTGTAGATGTCCCACTGCAGTTATGAATTCACTTCCCCGTAATTCCAATATTGAAAGCGTGTAAGGTCCAGAATCAGAGGCCTGGACATTTTGGATCTTTAAGGAGCACCCTCTCCACAGATCTTCCCGTCCTGTGTAGGCTGGCCCTCTCGCAGTGACCTGATTATATTCCGTTTTCAAGATCTGTCTGTTCCTGTTCACACCATTGCCTCGGAACCAGTCGCACTGGATAGGAAACTGGGCATCTTCCATGTGAAGGAAGACGGTCTGTCCAACTTGGGGGTTGGGTGGGAATTGGACAATGCGGAGGGCTTTGGATGGATGGAAGTTGGAGGCTAAGGTCAAAACTGGGCAACAAGCAAGAAACAGGAGAAGGTCAGTACTGATTCTACGGCTGTCATCCTGGCCCTTGGAGTAAAAAAAACCAAATTCCAACTTCCTAGCCGGCTGGCAATTTTATTAGGAGCGCTCAAGTTAACAGCGGGTGCTGTTTCTGAGCTCCCCAGAAGTCATCAGGTGGAGGGGGAGGGGGGAGTATGAGGAAGAGGAGGAGGAGGGGCGGGGACGTCATTAAGTCTAAACTAGCCTAAACCCTCATGAAGAGATGAGCATAAAATTAAAATTCATTCACCCTTCTCAATCCAAACAGCAGGCACAGTCTTTTTCAAAGGTAAAGTATTTCACTTTTAAGCCTCCTATAATTAATGCAGTTTTATACCACCCTGTACTTGTGGTTGCCAGGAGATCGGGGTGGGTGGGGGGGAATTTGTTTAGGCTGCTCTTCTGCTCTTAACCACAGCTCGGTTGGCATTTTAATTTTTAAGCAACTTATTGCCAGCTGTAGAATCTACAAACATCGGAACGTTCCATCGTCGTTAGAGGGAAAGCAGCAGGCATTAGTTCACAGATTTCAGAGAGCGTTCACGAGCACGCTTTATCCTTCCGAGCACAATGAAGAGCGACCAAGCCACATGCAAGAGCATAAGGCAGATTGTTGGCGGAGCAGGGACAAAAACAGCCAGAGAAATTATTGAAGCCTGGGAAACGAGAGGGCTGATTTACCACCCTGTCAGTCAACCAGAGGGCTGATTTACCACCAGCTTACCAGAAGCTGAGGGCACAGCTACAATCAATGGCTTAATAGCCAGCTATCAACATCCCAATTAACAACTAAAAGCCATCTATGACCAGGCACCATATAAATACCAGGCATAGAACAGCCCGGTGTGCACATTCTGGAGAGAATTTCCCGAAGGGTGGACTCTAGCGCGAGTCCAAAAGCTTGGAAGAATAAACCTTTGGCCCTGGTGACCGACTCAGATTGGATCCTGCAACATTATCCTAGGACACGTATATGTGCCTTTATTCACACAGCCATGATGTCACGTGTCAAGGGGAATGGACGGAAAGTGACTCACCTCAAGCCCCCCGCTTCCAAGTGGGCTTCCCCAACCTGGTGCCCATAAGCTGTGACAAATTTAGACACCCCCCCCCCAAACTTCCACCCGAGATGTAATTGGGGATTGCAGCCTGCTTAAATCTTCTACACAGTCAATTGCTCTATGGTTATCCTCCCTCCCAACATCTCTGCTCACCTGCCAGGATTAGACCGCTCCAGCGCATGGTGAGATGGATAGCAAGTGCCGGAGACGGGAGTTTCCGAGATAGATGAGCTTTGTTTGGGGTGAAAAGTGGGGGGGGGGTTTTTAGCCTTATATAGTCTTCCACACACTTTTCAAGGGTGGGAATTTCCAGTTAAATCCTGCCAGTTGCGGGAAAGGGCGATAGGAGAATACCGGAATCAAGGATTGGGCAAGAGACAGCCGTTTCCCAACTCTTTTGTGAAACGTTTAGCTTTTGGACATGAACATTTAAGCCTGGTCAGATGGGCAGAATTGCCCTGAAGGGTTCATCAAGAGCTTGATTGTTGCATGATCCACGGTCTGCTGAGTCTTTTTTATTTTTGAAACACATTTTATTGGTTTTTTAATTTTTAGAAAAAGGTACTCAGGACACACCGTGCTGTTTGGGTAATCAAACATTCAACAATAAAACCATTTATAAATAACTCAACTCAATACATTCAATGCCCCCTCTCTATTTCCCTCAACTAGCATAATACGTTTTTAAAATGTTCCATTTCTAATTTAAATTTCTATAACAGCTAAACGTGTTTTAAAACTTTGTAAGTTTACGGTTACCATAATCAAATTTAACTTTAAATCAAGTTATCAATTCAGGTATCCCTTCCAGATATATTCTAATTCTTAATCTCTCATATCCCTCATTTTATCTCAAGTCTCACTTATTTCTTCTTCCATTACTGAGTCCTTTTTAATGACTGGGTGTTGGGTGCCAATTCAGGCCAGCCTGTCAAAAGGAGTAACTTTTCAAGCATCTGTGACAGAGGAGGTTCTGGTTGACATTTGGGTGGGGGGGGGTTTCCTTTTTTTTCTTATCTTGTTCTGGAACTCCTTCCCCCCTTCAATTCAATTCCGGGTTTTTCCCTGTTTCTTTGCTTTGTGTGCTTCACATTGCTTAGTCAATATTGACATTTTGTTCTGTTCTGTCCATTACATTAAAAAAAAGAATTAGCAGTGGCCTTACATAAACCTATGGCGTAACCGTGTCCTGGCACAGCTACTGCCACGTCTTCCGCTAATGAAGTCCTCAACTTAAGACCCCAGTTGAGTCCAACACTTCTGTCGCTAAGTGAGTCTTGCTCTGTTTTACGACCTTCCTTTTCGCCCTTGCCAAGTGAATCTCTGGATTTGTGAAGTGAGTTAACAGCCATGTAATCTCTTCCTCTTTTTTTTTTTTTTAAGAACAGCAGGAAAAAAACAAGAGAAACTTTTTATGGGTCCAGTAAAGGTGATTATGTAGCAGAAGTAATTCCCGCATTTAAGCTATGTTGAAGATCCCCAAATCGGGTACAAAGTTGCCAACCTCATTTTTTATTTTATTTTTTTGCACAAATCAATACCATTTGGCAACTTCGCTTATTGATGCTCCCCTTCCGGTTATGGTTCTTGAAGTAAAGAAGTTCAACCTGTTACTATTTGTTTACTGGCCGTTCAAAATGAGGCTGCACTGAATGAAGAGACTTACAACACCTGACGTTCTGACTGTTGCAGCGTCTCTGCGGTCATGGGATCAACATTTAGGGGCTTGGCAGCGAACCCACCTTACAAGCCCACATCCTGGGTCTCCTTCCCGCCTCACCAGTCCAGGTCCACTTTAGAACAGAGGACAGGGCTCTCTAAACTTGGCAACTTTAAGACTTGTGGACTTCAACTCCCAGAATTCCTCAGCCAGCTAGCCAGGACAATTTTGGCACTTGAAATCCACATATCTTATTTTATTCCTAGAATAGCCCAATGTCTCGCTCTGGGGAGAAATATCTATCCAACTGCTGGAGATTCTACAATCTCTGCTGCCATCTACTGGCTGGGACTGCAATCTGCACCCAGGAAATCTTTCCATATTCTAAGAGCAGTGATGGCGAACCTTTTAGAGACCAAGTGCCCAAACTGCAACCCAAAACCCATTTATTTATTTATTTATTTATTTATTAAAATTTATAGACCGCCCCACTCCCGCAGGACTCTGGGCGGCTAACAATAAAAACACAATATAAATTAACAAAACAAACAATACAATAACAGTCATCCAGGGGTCAGATTTTATAAACCCCAGGCCTGCCGGAAAAGCCAGGTCTTAAGCAGCTTGCGGAAAACCAACAGGGTAGGAGCGGTCCTAATCTCCAGGGGGAGCTGGTTCCAAGACGTGGGTGCCATCACAGAGAAAGCCCTCCCCCGCGGCCCCGTCAAATGGCACTGCTTGGCCGACGGGACCTGAAGGAGGCCCAGCCTGTGGGATCTAACCGGACATAGGGAACTATGAGGTAGTAGGCGGTCTCGCAAATAGCCTGGCCCTGAGCCATATAGAGCTTTAAAGGTAATAACCAGCACCTTGAATTGGACCTGGAGACCAATAAGCAACCAGTGCAGCTCACGGAGGATAGGTGTAACGTGGGTGTACCAAGGAACACCCACTATCACTCGTGCGGCTGCATTCTGGACCAACTGTAGTCTCCAAATACTTTTCAAGGGTAGCCCCATGTAGAGCACGTTGCAGTAGTCCAGGCTTATGCATCGTCGGATGCCGGGTGGGTGTGGCCCATTGGGTGGGCATGGCTGTGGTGGTAACGGCAGACGGGGTGGGACTAAAAAGTTCAATCAATCAATTCCAACTTTGCAAGATCTTTTTTTTTTCCCCCGCGAGAACGTGAAATTGATTGATTGAACCTTTTTTTTTTTTTTGCACACGGCGGGAGGCCTAAAGTGAAAAGGTTTTATAAAACCCAGCATTCACACAGCAGATAACCAGATTAGTTGCAAATCTTCAGGTTGCATTTTCACAACATGTCAAGGGCAATTACTTTGAACACGTTTGATTGTAGTGGGGTGTCTTTTCTCAGGGGGGGGGGAATTTAAGGAGTCACCTTATAAGGGAGATAGAGACAGAGAAAGAGACAGAGAAGGAAGGAAGGAAGGAAGGAAGGAAGGAAGGAAGGAAGGAAGGAAGGAAGGAAGGAAGGAAGGAAGGAAGGAAGGAAGGAAGGAATGGTGGGATTCAAATATGGGACCAACCGGTTCTCTGTGTGGACGACGCTTCCGGAAGTCCATTCTGGGCCTGGGCAACAAAAAATTAGCTACTGGTTCTGCCAAAGTGGTGCGAAGTGGCTGAATCCCACCACAGGAAGGAAGAAAGGAAGAAAGGGAGGGAGGGAGGAAGGAAGGAAGGAAGGAAGGAAGGAAGGAAGGAAGGAAGGAAGGAAGGGGGAAAAGGAGGGAGGGAAAATAACAATGTTTATATTTTTGCAGGTCAGAATAATGTAACAGCCCAGAACAGGGTCCTCAAAAGAAAGAAAATAATGACTTTTGAATAGAATTAGTGTACCTTGGAGCATCATTTTTTTAGCATCCTAAGTGATTAATATATGTTACTTCTAAGTAAGGGTGTAGGTCTACACATTGTTGTATATGTTTAAATGTGTGTTACGTATGTGTACACTTGAAGAGCAAGCAAATAAATTTCATTTTTAATGTTGCCGTTGTGCCCACAGTAAAAAAATGACAATAAACATTATCTAATCTAATCTAATAAGAGCTTATTCACTCAATCTGAAAAACTGCACACAGCTACTTCCAAGGATCTCTTCGGGATCTGTCTTTGCTGATTGGCGATGGATCTAGCATCTGACAGGGATCATCCCCTTGTTAATCCTTTCCCCTGTCTGGGTTTTTTTTTTTTTTTAAGCAAAAGTTGGACAGGCAGGCTAGTCCCTACCCCACACCACGTAACCCCACATTATTCTCGCTTTCCAATTGCTTTCTGGCAGGGGTTGTGGAAGTGCGAAACGGGACTTTCCAGGCATCAAAACTTCTGGGAAATTTGATCTTTCCAGCAGAAGGAGGAGGAGGAGGAAGAGGAGGAGGAGGAGGAGGAGGAGGAAGAGGCGGGAGGGGGGGGGGAATCGCAGGTTCTACTCTCCTTGTTAAGAGAGAAAAAAAAGACCAGGCAGCTTAGAATGATCTAACCACTCTCTACCCCCCGCCTTACAGGTGGAGAAAATAATGAAAAATATAAAAAAAGAAAATGGGATGTTTAAGAATTGCCGGGGTTGAATTCTCTTGGGATGCAGCTGCAGTCACAGGATCCCGTCCTTAATACAGGTAGTCCTCAACTTACAATAGTTCATTTAGTGACCGTTCAAAGTTACAACGGCACTGAAAAAAGCGACCGACAAGCATTTTCCACACTTACGACCGTTGCAGCATCCCCAGGGTCACGTGATCAAAAGTCAGTCAGCTTGGCAACTGACTCACATTTACGACGGTTGTCTTGTCCCAAGGGCCACGTGATCCCCTTTTGCAACCTCAAAGTCAACGGGGGGAGCCAGATTCGCTTAACGACCGGGTGACTAGCTTAACAACCACAGAAATTTACTGGAAACTAAAATGGAATGGATGGAAACTCATCAAGGAGAGAAGCAATCTAGAACTAAGGAGAAACTTCCTGACAGTAAGAACAATTAACCAGTGGAACAACCTGCCTCCAGAAGCGGTGAATGCTCCAACACTGGAAGTTTTTAAGAAGAGACTGGACAGCCATTTGTCCGAAATGGGGTAGGGTTTCCTGCCTGAGCAGGGGGTTGGACTAGATGACCTCCAAGGGCCCTTCCAACTTTATTATTATTATTATTATTATTATTATTATTATTATTATTATTATTATTAAGAAGCACCAGATGGAAACTGATCAAGGAGAGAAGCAACCTAGAACTAAGGAGAAACTTCCTGACAGTAGGAACAATGAACCAATGGAACCACCTGCCTCCAGAAGCTGCAAATGCTCCAATACTGGAAGTTATTAAGAAGAGACTGGATGGCCATTTGTCCGAAATGGTATAGGGTTTCCTGCCTGAGCAGGGGGTTGGACTAGATGATCTCCAAGGTACCTTCCAACTTTATTATTATTGTTGTTGTTGTTGTTGTTACCGTATTATTATTATTATTGTTGTTGTTGTTGTTGTTGTTGTTGTTATTATTATTATAAAACAGCTGTGGCAAAAAAAGTTGCAAAATGGGGCAAAATTCATTTAACAAATGTCTCCCTTAGCAACAGAAATTTTGGGCTCAGTTGCGGTCATAAGTGAAGGATGACCATGCTGGCTCGGGAATTCTGGGAGTTGAAGTCCACCCATCTCCGAGTGGCCAAGGTTGAGAAATACAGGCCTAGGCCAGGGGTAGGCAACCTTGGCTCTTTTATGACTGGTGGACTTCAACTCCCAGAATTCCTGAGCCAGCATGGCTCAGTTTGGACATCTCTCCCTTTCCCCTCAGCATGGCTGGCTCAGGAATTCTGGGAGTTGAAGTCCACGAGTCATAAAAGAGCCAAGGTGGCCTACCCCTGACCTAGCCATTCTTCTTTTCCAGGATGATGTCCAGATGTCCTGGCCATCAATTGTTAGCTGACTGGTTGATGATGGAAACCCATCAGGCTGAGAAGGTGGCCAGTTGCTAAAAGGGACCACAAGACCATTGTGAGCGTTTTGTTGCAACAGACCAGCCTGTTCCACAACCTTCCCTTCTGACTTCTCTCCTGCTCCCCTTATTCAGCTCTCTGCGTAAGCTGCCAGATGACTCACAGCCTCAGTTTCCCACAGCTGAGCTGGGAAGAGCCAGACCCCCTGAGTCACTCATCAGTTCCCAATTTCAAGAAGAAACACACAATCTTCACGGCAGGACATCCGTAAGCAAAAACTCCACCAGCTACATGTTGAAGCAGGATCCCCGACTGGAGAAGACGGTGAAAAGTCCATGGGGAAAGAGAAGAGGATTCAAAAACCCAGCAACTCCCCTAAAACCAGGATTTGCATGAGGGCCTCCAAAAAAAGACCGTGCAAACCAGCCCCCCCCCACTTCCCTCCCATGGATGCAGGGAAGTGATGTCAGCCAGTGATGACCACATATTTGGAACACCCAAGAAATAAATAGATCTTGGTTGGGTTAGAATAGAAATAGAATATCTTTACTGCCATTGTGTAACTCATGACAAAATGAAGTGCTGTCCAAAGTGCACACTACACCCACGTAAAAACCACAAATAAGAACGTACCATATTATATACATGCATCCTTCACCTTCTACTCACCACTGCGCTGCCCCTAATATTATACTTCAACGTTGTACTATACTGTGGGATTTAACAGCTCTATTTTTCAGCCTATTTGTCATTTGTTTATGTTATCCTGTACTCCTTTGTGTAAGCGCCAATGTTGTGTACTCATCACAGTAATTCTGGTGACCTTTGATTTCCCGGAGGCTCAAAGCTTTGGAACTGATTGGGGTGGAGTTGAAAAAGTTGGGAATACTGATAGGAAAAAGATATTTGTAGCCTGAGATTGAACTGTGGGGTCTTTGGTGGTCTCTGAGCTTGGGGGTTTTCTCGCAGACGTTTCAATACCCAACAAGGTAACATCATCAGAGAAAACCACCAAGCTCAGAGAACACCAAGAACCCCACAGTCCTCCTCCTCTAGGGAGCCGAGTGCCCCACTTCACCCCTCCTCTCACAGGACACCCTCCAAGTACAACAGTCCTCAACTTACGACTACAATTGAGTCCCACATTTCCAACTATCCTCGGTTTTGTTTTGACCACCTTTCTGGCCCACAGCTAAGGAAATCGCTGGCAGTTGTTAAGTGAATCATTGGGTCACTAAGCGAATCTAGCTTCCCCTCCTTCCCCCCCCCATTGATTTTGCTTGTTGAAGTCAGCCCGGAAGGTTACAAACCATCATCACATGACCACAGGGGCAGCGCAAGTGTCAAAAACACATGCCAAACGACATTTTGGGATTTTAGATCACGTGACCCTTGGAGGGATAGTGCAACGGTCGTTAAGGGTGAAAAACGGACGTAAGTCGCTTGTTTTCGTCGTAGCTTCGAACTAAACCAATGGTTGTAAGTCAAGGATTCTCTGTAACCCCTATAAACAGGATTGGAATCCCAGGACACCCTCCCACACACACACATATCCATGGACTGTTGCTCCTTCCTCAGCCACCAGGGGGCGCCATTCCCAAACCGCCGGGGACAGCGCCTCCCCTTTAATCCGGTTCTGGGGGGAATCCCGCTCTCCGCGCCCCGCCCTCCCAACCGCCAGCCCTACGTCATTTGCGCACACCGTTTGCAGCATCGCGCTCCTCCTCCCCTCCCCTCCGCCCTCCCCCGAAAAGAACCGGACGGTCTGGCATCCGCTTGCGAGGTCCTCTCGTCCTCTCCCCACCCCCCACCCCCACCCCCACCCCGCCAGGTTGTGGGGAAGGGAAAAGAGCAGATTCCCACGTGTTCTCCTGTCGCTTGCTGGGTAGGCAAGGATCGGGGGGGGGGCTGCGAAAGGGGCCAGAATGAATGAATGAACGAAGGAAAGGAAGGAAGGAAGGAAGGAAGGAATCAATAAACGGCGTTGCAAAAGTGGTGTGTGTGTGTGGTTGTGTGTGTGGTTGTGTGGTTGTGTGTGTTTCCGTGTGTTTCCTTCTCTCTCTCTCTCTCTCTCTCTCTCTCTCTCTCTCTCTCTCTCCTCTGCCCCAAAGTTGGCAGCGTGCAACTTCCACGTCGCAAGCCCCGAGTTGCCAAAGTGCAAACGTGCTGGGCGGTTTGACTTGAACCCAGCGCCGCCACCCACGCCCAGGCATGCACACGCACACACACGTTCACACCCTCCTGCCCTTCTCTCCGAAGGACGCGGTCGCCCCGTCCCGGGATTGTAACCGCCCCCGGGAACAGGCCGACTCTCAACAGGTGGAGCTCGCCTGCACCTCCCAGGACTAGCGGCAACAGCTCCGCCCGAGGCTTTTTTTTTTTGCAAGCTGCTTCGGCCCCGGCTTGCTGCAAAGGGCGAGCGGGGCCAGCCCAGTGGCCCGGGAGGGGGGGGGAGGCGTGAAACGGGGACCAAAGTCCACCACGCAGAAACACCCCCCCCTCCCCCCTCTGCCCTACCTGGAGCTGGCGGGGCTCCCGGGCACACCTGGCAGCCTTGAGCCACGCGCCCCGGGCGCCCGGGCCGGGGCTTCCCTCGGCGTTGGAAGCCACGGGAAGGGCCGAGGCAGGCGGCCAGGAGGAGGAGGGACTGGAGGCGGAACTCCCCCGGGGAAGGGAGGCCGGTAAGAGCCGCTCCGTGAAAGTCCCTCCATTCAGCTGAGCGCTTGGGGAAGTCCCGGCTTCCTTCTTCCACCGCCGAGGCTGGGCCAAGCGGGTGTCACCACCAGCGACGCCGACGCCGGGGATCGGCTCGTGGGCGCCCAGGGAGACCCCAGCCCGGCCCACCGACCCTCCTGCGGCCGGGGGGGGGGGAGCTTCTGCACAGCCCGCCCCCCCTCCTCTTTCCACCTCCCTCGTCCGCCCGAGAGAGAGAGCAAAGCAAAAGGATGACTTGGCAAAGGCAGAGGCGAGACGCTGGGGAGGCGTTGGACGGGTGACTCCCTTCGCAGGAATCCGGGCGAGGGATCCAGTGAGGTGGGGGGGGGAAAGCTTGGAAGAGACACTCGCCCCCCATCCTCCAGCTGCCGATCCGGGACCCTCCTGCCCGCTGGGTTGCCCAGGAAAGGCGCCTGGCGCGCCGCTAGCTCTCTGCAGGGTCCGCTGGGGAAGGGGCTGCAGGTCTTCTCGGAGGGGGCCACCTGGGAAATTAGCACCCCCTCCCCGAAGAAGTCGGACACCGACCCGCGATGCTGGGGGAAAAGAGCCGGTGTCCCGTTCTTCAACTCCTCCTCCTTCTTCCCATCAGCTGAAAACCTTGCGCGGGTCTCTGCTTTGTTGGAAGCGGGCAGACTTTTGGGGGGGGGGGGAGCTGGACAGGGCAAAGAGAGGTTGGCCTTGCAAAGATGGGGGGCTGAGGCGGCTGCTTCCCCTCCCTCCACCAGCATCTAGGTAGGAGGAGGGACCTCTTTTCAAAAGCTCGATCAGGAACCTGGGACAGGCAGGTAGGTGGACTTTGTGGCTCACCTCTCGGGCCGCGCCAAGCATCCAGGAAGATGGCCGGGGAGTTTCCTGTGGACCTGCGCACCTGGCGGAAACAGGGGCGCCAAGACAAGCACCCCCCCTCTCATGGAGACCCTCCTCTGACTCCCTCGGGCCAGCTGTTGCCTGGCTGTCTTTCTTCAGGAGCGCTGCCCGAACCCGGGGCCAGAGACACTTCGATGGGTCAGGCTGACCCCCAACCCAGGACTCGAGACGCAGCATCCCCCAAGGCTGGGCTGCAGGAAGAAAAGAAGCAGGAGATGTATTTGCCGCTGAGAAAGCGCCGCTATGCCGTGGAGGGGGCAAACGGGGACACGCCGGGACCTCTGGCTGGCAAGGTCCCCAAGATGGAGAGTGGGCAGGAGGGAAGTGGGTCCCGGCAACCCCACTCCAATGGCTACCACCCTTGTTACGTCTCCATGCCCTACCCCAGGGTACCGGTGTCCTATTACCCAGGTAAGGACCCAGCAGCAGAAAACGTTCTTTTCTTCCTTTCCTGGTTCCTATAATTTGTGTACCCCGCTGCCAGCTTCCTTCTCACTAGCCGTGGTGTGTTTCCTCCCACCCCACCCCAATGTTTTAGGGCCATTTCCCTTTTTTTTTTCTGGCGCCCCTTACAAGCAGTGGACCCCAAGCCCAATCTATTTATGTATTTCGTTCCATCTATTATTGTCGCCCACTCCAAGAGACTCCAGAGAGGTTATAATAAATCACTAAACTAAACTAAAACAATTCAACATATCAACAACAGCCCAAACTATAAAGAACTATTAAGAGACAGACGCCCACCCACCCCCCAATGTATACACAAAGGTTTTTCTTAGTTCTTTCTTAATCTGGGGGTGAGGGTTTAGTAAGTAAATGAGTGAAGGTGGTCTGCTTTAGTGGTAGCCCCCCAATATCTCCTCTATGGGGTATGCTGGAAGGAGGGGGCAGAGGGGGAGGGAGGGAGAAAGAGGGTGAGAGACAGAGAGAGGGAGAAAAAGGGGAGGGGGGGAGAGGGAAGGAGGGAGAAAGGGGGAGAGACAGGGAGAAGGGGACAAGGGAAGGAACAGATATGGAGATGGGGAGGGAGGGAGAAAAGGGGGTGGGGAGAAAGAAGGAAAGGGGGAAAGAGGGAGGGAGAAAGGAGAGAGAGAGAAGGAAAGAGAGAGGTGGGATAAAGAGGGAGACAGAGAGAGAAATTGGTAGAGATTGCCCTATAAAAATGTTTTTTTTAAAATGCATTTCTCGTAAGAGGATGCTCTCGACCAATCAGCAGTTCACAAAGGTGCCTCTGGCGTCTCCTGAACCCACAGCAGTTCCTCAGCCTTCCTGGGGGGGGGAGAGAGGGGGAGGTAGTGGGGTGGCTTGTAAGATCTGTGGGACCACAAGCAAGTGCTTCAAGAAAAGCCTCTGGCAGTCTAGGCTGAACTCCATTCTCATTGCCCCTTGTGTGACAGCTCGATCTCTCCAGATAGTCCTCACTTAACGGCTGCCACCGAGACCGGCAAGTGACGAGGTCGTAAACTGAAATGTCCCATGACCACTCCCAATTTGTGACATCAGTCCTGTGGGGGTGATTAAGCGAATCACCTGCAGTTCTTAAGCGTGATGTGACCAGAAATTTCCCACTTCCTGCTGGCTTCCCCAATGACTTTGCTCGTCTTTGCTCACCAGCTGTGAAGGTTGCAAATGGGGATCCCATAACGATAGAAATGCTGAGCCACCCATAAGTTCAAGGACTGGTCATAAAACGACTTTTTTCAGCACTGAAAGAAGAGAATATCAGTAGCTGAGGGTTGAGCTGTGGAGTCATTAACGCTCTCTGTGCTTGGTTGTTTTCTTACAGACGTTTCATTGCCTTACTAGGTAATGTCATCAGGGAGTGGGGTTTGCTCTCTGTTTATATAGAAGTGGCTTGTTTTGTCAGGGTTTGCGGGGAGGTGTTCTTGGTGGTTCCTTGATTCGGCTGCTTTCACACTGTTACAAGTTCGAGCAGTCACAAAACAGGGCAGTTTTTAACCAAGGACTTCCCGTATTTTATCCAGGTATATAGACAGGAAGATGGTAAAGATGGCTTTTTTCCCCCCTGTTCTGCATTACATTAAATATGCCCAACATGGATACCCCCTGTTGGTTCAAGGGTTCAGACACCCAAGGGAAATTTGAAGTAGGAACTTGAGGAAGGACCTCAGTTTTATTTATTTATTTTATGAGACTTATATACCTCTTTAAGTGCAAGCACTCTCTAAGCGGTGTACACCAGTAAGCAATGTATATATATATTTACATTGCCCCCAACAATCTGGGTCCTCATTTTACCTACCCCGGAAGGATGGAAGGCTGAATCAACTTTGAGCCGGTGAGATTTGAACCCACTGGGCAGTTAAACCAAATCCACATGCAGTTTGAGGCCTTTACTCCCTTTTGTGAATGCTGGTGCCCTGCAGGCATGTTCCTGGGGTTATTTCCCAAGCTAAACCAAGAGGGGCCTTGACCAAGTGAGGTTGGCTTTGTGTCCGGGTTGAAGGAAATCGAAGTTGACCTTAGACACCTGGCCAGGAGGCTGTGAGTTCTAGTGCAGCCTTAGGTATGAAACCTAACTGGGTGACTTTGGCCCAATCACCAGGACATGGTGAATTCTAGTCCCACCTGGGGCATGAAAGCCAGCTGGGTGACTTGCAACCAATCACCAGGAGACCGTGAGTTCTAGTCCCGCCTTAGGGACTAAGACTGACTGGGTGACTTTGGGCCAATCACCAGGAGACGGTGAGTTCTAGTTCCACCTTAAGCATGAAAGCCAACCTGGTGACTTTGGGCCAATTATTAGGAGACAGTGAATTCTAGTCCCACTTTAGATATGAAAGCTGGTTGGGTGACTTTGGGCCAATAATCAGGAGACAGTGAATTCTAGTCCTGCCTTACGCATGAAAGCCGACTGGGTGACTTTGAGTCAATCCCCCTCTCTTAGCCCAACCCGCCTCACAGGGTTGTTGTTATGGAAAAATAGGAGAAGGAAGGTGTACTGGATATGTGATTTATAACAATAATAAAGGCAGGATGGAAGTAAACAAGCCAACAAACTTTGCTTCTCATTGCCATCTCTCTCCTGTCGAATCCTCAGGTCTGGCCAGCCCCTTTTTGAACCCAGAGCTGACTCCACTTTTACAACCTTCCTTGTTGGGAATCCTGCCTTCTTACTCCTTCATGCCCCCGCCAGAAGCCCAGCTGGCTTTGGACATTGCCACGGCAACGCAGCAAGATGAGGATGGAGACACGTAAGAGGAAAAATTTCTTTGCATGGGGAACTCCAGAAGGAACCGGGCAGCGCAGAGAATAGCCCTGGGCTTTAAGACCTGGAAAACCAAATTTTGTCATGGAACAGAGGAGAGCTATGGGCAATTTGTATAGGAGGACATGACCGTTTTAGTTAGGGTTATTATGTCCAGAATTTTGTGTGTGTGTGTGTGTGTGTGTGTGTATGTATGTGTGTGTGTGTGTGTGTGTGTATGTGTGTGTGTGTGTGTGTGTGTGTGTGTGTGTATATATATATATATATATATATATATACATATATATATATACACACACATACATACATACACACACACACACACACACATACACACACACACACAAACACATACATACATATATATCAGTGGTTCTCAACCTGTGGGTCGGGACCCCATTTGGGGTCGAACGACCATTTCACGGGGTCGCCAAACAACGCAGTCCGCCATTTTTTCCCCCTTTTCCTTAGCTGTGCTACTCCCCTTTTATTCTATTGGCTTTTGAAAGCCAATAGAATAGACTCTCTTGAATAGAGTCTAATTCTATTGGCTTTCAAAAGCCAACAGGAATTTTCCAGGCTGTCTCTGCCCTGCTGAGCCCGCCAAAAGTCCCATTCTGCAAACGGTGCTGCACCAGTTGAGTAGTCCTCGACTTACGACCGGTTGAGTAGTCCTCGACTTACGACCGGTTGGGGGTTGCGGCATTAAAAAGGTTGAGAACCACTGATTATATATATATATATATATGGATGGATGGATGGATGGATGGATGGATGGATGGATGGATGGATGGATAGATAGATAGATAGATAGATTGATTCACGGCCTTATGGGCAAAATTCTGGAGAAAAATTGAATTGTATTTGCGCTTTTAGCTGGATCGATATTCTCAACTTACCAATATTCGTTTAGCGACTGGTCCGAGTTATAATGGCACTGAAAAAGTGACTTACGATCAGTCCTCGCACCTATGACCGTCACAGCATCCCCATGGTCAAGTGATCAACATTTCACTGCTTGGCAACTGTCATATATTTACAACGGTTGCAGTGTCCCGGGGTCAAGTGATCGCCATTTGCAACCTTCTCATCCAGTGTCCAACAGGTCAATGAAAGAAGCCGGATTTGCTTAATGACCATGTGATTCGCTTAGCCACTGTTCAGATTTGCTTAACAATCGTGGCAAAAAAGTCGTAAAAAATTGGGTGCAGCTCACTTAAGAAACATATTGCTTAGCGACGCAAATTTTGCTTCCCAGTTGTAGTCGTAAGTCAAGGACCGCCGGTAATCGAGGTCCAGGGTGAGGATAATATGCACCCCATTTTTCTGACTGTTTACACCTTCAGCAGCTTCAATACAGGTAGTTCTCGACTTACCGCCCCAACTGAGCCCGACATTTCTGCTGTTAAGTGAGTTTTGGTCCCATTTTGCGATCTTTCTTGCCGTTAAGTCGTTAAGTGAATCACTGCAGTTAAATTAGTAACCCGGTTGTTAAGTGAATCTGCCTCTTCCCCCCCCCCTTTGACTTTGATGGTCAGACGTTTACAAAGTTTACACGTGACTCTCTGACATCGCAACCGTCATAAATGTGAGCCAATTGCCTAGTGTCCAAATTTTGACCGCAGGACTGTGGGGATACTTGCAACGGTCGTAAGTATGAAAAATGGCCGTCCGTTGCTTTTTTTTAATAGTCACTAAGCAACAGTTTGTTTAGTGGTTGCTCAAAGTTAGAAGGGCATTGAAAAAAGGGGACTCATGATCATTTTTCCCACTTACAACCGTTGCGTAGCGTCATGCGATCAAAATTCAGACACTTGGCAACTGACTCATATTTATGACGGTCGCAGTGTCCCTTTTGTGACCTTCTGACCAGCCAAGTCAATGGGAGAAGCCTGGTTCACTTCACAACCGTGCGACTTAACAACTATGGCAAGAGGAGTCGTAAAATGAGTCAAAGCTCACTTAACAAACATTTTCATTTAGCAACAGCTAACTTTTAGGCTCGGTTTCGGTCATAAGGCGAGGACGACCTGGTACCTCCTAACTCTACATGCTGAGTGGGCTGTGTTTGGAAACAGCCCTGTTTCAGTACGTTTCAGCTTCTGCCCAACAAGCCAGCTTTGATCTATTTACAAATAAATAACCTGCAGTTATATCCTATCTTCACTTCCTGTTCTGGGCCAAAAGCCACATTCAAAGCCGGGAGGGTTTTTTTTTATTTTATTTTATTTTTATGCTTCTGCTATTGTCACCCTAAGAACAGTTCCTGCTGCTCTTGAATCAAAGCAAGCTTAAGCTGGAAGGGGAATCCCCCATTTCTGCTGCAGCTGAATCTCTCTCCCTTACACACTCTCACACACACACACACACACACACACACACACACACACACACACACACACACACACACACACACACGAACTGCTCCTCCCTAGCCGGCTGACTTTTTTTCTCTCTCTCCCTGCTACGTAACCCTTGGCAACTGCTCCTTTTACAGGAATGGGGCAAAGGGTGTTGGCTGGCCCCGAAGGCAGGGCGGGAGATCTTCTCTTGCCAACACACACACACACACACACACACACACACACACACACAACACACACACCCTTTTCCTTCTCCGCCTGCCTTGCAGAATTGCAGAGGGAAACCTGGATGCAAGGAAAGGTCATCTGCCGTGGGATCAGAATGACCAGTGCCCCCCTTTTTTGGAGGATTGGGGTGGGCTTGGAGCAGATGCTGGCTTGGCTTGGCTTGGCTTGGCTGGGCTGCTCCGGTGAGGAAGCAGCCTGCCGTGGTGAGGCAGGAAGCAAAGGTCACAGCCGAGCCGGTGGTTCTTACTGGAAGTCGTTGCCGGAGGAGCCCTTCCCACTGCTGTGAATGGGGCTCTGCTGCCAGAAGACAGTTTCGCTTTATTGTAAATGGAGTGCCGGAGAGTTTTGTGAAATCACACGGTGTGGCGTGACCTTGGGAGAGAGAGAGAGAGTGCTGTCCCACGCCGGAAGTGCGGTTGGGGCCCCAAGAGCAGGGACTCATCCGTGAGCCAAATCACATTTCAAAAGAGGGGGTAGCCCTCTCCATCCATTTTAGCTCCCCCTTTGCAAAAAAGGGGGCGACTTTTGACAGCGGTCTCGCCCCCCCCCCCCGTGGGAACCCCAGAACTGTATTTTTCAACCTCAGCAGCTTTAAAGTATGTGGACGTCGACTCCCAGAATTCCCCAGCCAGCAAGTCCATGTGTCTTCAAGTAGGGTGGCTAGGGAATTGTGGGAGTTGAACTCCACACATCTTAAAAGCATGGTGATTAGGGAATTCTGGGAGTTGAAGTCCACACGTTTTGAAGATGGTGGCTAAGGAATTTTGGGAGTTGAGATCCATGCATCTTAGAGCATGGTGGCTAGGGGATTCTGGGAGTTCAACACACATTTTAAAGATGGTGGCTAAAAAATTCTGAGAGTGGAACTCTACACATCTTAAAGCGTGGTGATTAGGGAATTCTGGGAGTTGAAGTTCGCACGTTTTGAAGATGGTGGCTAAGGGATTTTGGAGTTGAGGTCCAGGTATCTTAGAGCAGTGTTTTTTCAACCTCAGCAGCTTTAAGGTATGTGGATGTCAACTCCCAGAATTCTCCAGCCAGCAAGTCCATGTGTCTTCAAGCAGGGTGGCTAGGGAATTCTGGGAGTTGAACTCCACACATCTTAAAAGCATGGTGATTGAGGAATTCTGGGAGTTGAAGTCCACACGTTTTGAAGATGGTGGCTAAGGGATTTTGGGAGTTGAGATCCAGGCATCTTAGAGCATGGTGGCGAGAGAATTCTGGGAGTTCATCACACATTTTCAAGATGGTGGCTAAAAAATTCTGAGAGTGGAACTCCACACATCTCAAAGCATGGTGGCTAGGGAATTCTGGGAGTTGAAGTCCACATCTCTGCCTTCCTGTCTGTCTAACCCTAGCCCTATCAACCCTATCTATCACCTAACCAAGGAGCCACCCCCAATAACACTATAACAGGGCAAGCCACTCGTATATAAACAGAGCCAACCCCACTCCTTTCCAGCACTGATGATGTTACCTAGTTGGTTTGCGAGATGTCTGCAAGGAAACCGTCAGGCTCAGAGAGCATCCAGGACCCCACTGTTTGGGGAAGGTCTAAAGAGCTGGGGAAGGTCACTGAAAACTCCCTTTGCTCTCTTGCAGGCCACTTCACATTGCTGTAGCTCAGGGGAACCTGCTGGCTGCTCAGCATTTAGTGATCCTCTTCCAACACGGACAGCGGGACCTGGATATCTTCAACAACCTACGGCAGGTTAGTGCACGCAGGAAGAGAACCACTGTGTAGGATGCTCCTTCTAACAAGGGCTGGGTTGGGCTGGTGTGGCTGCAGGTGGCCAACCACGGAGGCTGTTTTTCTCATTTGAGCTCCAAGATTCAGGGAGTTTGGGGGCAGCTTTTATCTTATGCTAAGCCAGTGGTTCTCAACCTTTTTAATGCGGCGACCCCCAACCGGTCGTAAGTCGAGGACTACTCAACCGGTCGTAAGTCGAGGACTACTCAACTGGTGCAGCACCGTTTGCAGAAGGGGACTTTTGGCGGACTCAGCAGGGCAGAGACAGCCTGGACAATTCCTACTGGCTTTTGAAAGCCAATAGAATTAGACTCTATTTAAGAGAGTCTATTCTACTGGCTTTCAAAAGCCAATAGAATAAAAGGGAGTAGCACAGCTAAGGAAAAGGGGGAAAAAATGGCGGACTGCATTGTTTGGTGACCCCCGTGAAATGGTCGTTCGACCCCCAAATGGGGTCGCGACCCACAGGTTGAGAACCGCTGTGCTAAGCTAAGATAGTGCTGTCCTAGGGCTGGGATGTGATATTTTGAACGTGCATGGAAAACACTGTTGCATAGGCTGTAACCCTGACCTGCAATCTTCCTCTTGATCCAGGGAGGAAAACTTCCTCAAAGTACATGACCCAAAGAGAAAGCTGTTGATATTGATTTAAAAAAACAAACAAGTTTCTAGTCCTTAAGCCCGAGAAGATAGGCTTGAATGCACAGAAGGAGAAAGGTTTCCACTGTGAGGTGTGGCTTTGGCCTACCGCTTGTTTCCTGCTGCCCCACCCTTCCAGGAAAAGTTGCATCCTAATCTGTAGGTAAATTGAAGCCAGTGTAATACACAGAGGGCGGGAGTCTGCTTCCTCCGGAGCGGGATGGCGTTTTTCAAAAACGGAACAAGTGCAAGGAAGAAACTGGGAAGTTATTGGAGCAGGTAGAGGCAAGACTGGAGGAAGGTCGTCAGAGGAAGATCTATTCTGGAAATACGGAGGAATTTACCCCGAAAATGAGAATATTAAGCAGCCAAACAGCTTGCCTCGCAAGTTGTGGGTGATCCATCACTGGAAGTTTTCAAAGAAAAAAATTGCTCAGGATGGTATAATTGTCCAGGATGGTATACAGGTAGTCCTCGACTGATAACAGTTCGTTTAGTGGCCATTCAATGGCACTGGAAAAAAAAGTGATTTATGGCCGTTTTTCACACCTACAACTATTGCAGTATCTGACTACCTGACCAAAATTCAGACACTTGGAAACCTGACTCACACCTGTGAGGGTTGCAATGTCTTGGGGTTACGTGATCCCCCTTTTGTGACCTTCTGACAAGCAAAGTCAATTGGGGAAGCTGATTCGCTTAACAACGGGGTTACTTACTGAACAACTGCAGTGAACTTAATTGTGGCAAGAAAAGCTGTAAAATGGGGCAAAAGTCACGTAACAATTGTCTGACTTAGCAACCAGACGTTTTGGGCTCCGTTGTGGTTGTCAGTTGAAGACTACCTGTAATTAGGCAGGGGTTGGAATAGAAGACCTCTGAGGTCCCTTTCAGGCCTATAATTCTATGACTGTAGACTGAGAGAGGGAAAACAGCTCTACAAAGGTGATAGTTGATATTGTCAAACCAGGAGCTGAGTAGGAATTATGATTTCACCAGCAGAACTCGGTTGGTCAGGAAAGAGGCTGTTCTAGAGCAGATAGACTTGACTTAGTTGACCCTTTCCTGGAGCTTTGATTGCTTCACTGCGGCCGCCATCTTGATTTAGTTGACCCTTCCCTGGAGCTTTGATTGCCTCATTGCAGCCCAAAATTTTAACTTGTTTGACCCTCTTCTGGAGCTTTGATTGCTTCATTGCGGCCACCATCTTGATTTAGTTGACTCTTCCCTGGAGCTTTAATTGCCTCATTGCGGCCGCCATCTTGACTTGTTTCACCCTTCTCTGGGGCTTTAATTGCCTCATTGCAGCTGCCATCTTGACTTGTTTGACCCTCCCCTGAAGCTTTGATGGCTTCATTGCAGCCGCCATCATGATTTAGTTGACCCTTCCCTGGAGCTTTGATTGCCTCATTGTGGTCGCCATCTTGACTTATTTCACCCTTCTCTGGAGCTCTGATTGCCTCATTGCAGCTGCCATCTTGACTTGTTTGACCCTCCCCTTGAGCTTTGATTGCTTCATTGCGGCCGCCATCTTGATTTAGTTGACTCTTCCCTGGAGCTTTGATTGCCTCATTGCGGCCGCCATCTTGACTTGTTTCACCCTTCTCTGGGGCTTTAATTGCCTCATTGCAGCTGCCATCTTGACTTATTTCACCCTTCTCTGGAGCTTTGATTGCCTCATTGCAGCCGCCATGTTGACTTATTTGACCCTCCCCTGGAGCTTTGATTGCCTCACTGTGGCCGCCATCTTAACTTGTTTCATCCTCCCCTGGAGCTTTAAGTGCACCCTTGCAATCCTCTTCTTGACTTTTTTGACCTGACAGATTGTTGGCTTAGTTCCTGGCAACCATTTGGGCTTTGCATACTCTCCCCCTCCTCCCTCCACCCACGGGACTTTCCCTCGAATCTGCTGGTGGCAAAGCCCAGAGTCACTTCCTCAAACTATTGCTCAAGAGAGCTTGCTTCATGGTCAGCAAAGCCGGATTATAAGTACTGAAACAGCAATGAGACAGGAGGAAATTGGGGTCAGAGCCTGTGGGTTTGTTCTGATGTCTTCAGTTTGAACATAGAATAACAGCGTTGGAAGGGATCTTGGAGGTCGTCTAGTCCAACCCCCTGCTCAAGCAAGAGATTCTATACCAGACCTGTCAAACACAAGGCCCGGGGGCCGGATGCGGCCCGCAAAGTGGTTTCATGTGGCCCGCGAAGCCATCCTGGAAACAGTGAGGGAACGGCCCCCGCTGGCCCAATCCGGCCGGGAGCCAATGTACAATTTTGTGGTGGCCATCTATGCTGAAACGCATTCAGTCTTAGCTTCACAAGGCCATCTGGAAACAGCGAGGAACCAGCCCCTGCCGCGTTGGCCCCGCCCCCTGGGTGCATGCTGGGGAGGGGTCACCCTTTGTGAGGAATGAAGAAATGGACTGTGCCTTGGCGCTTGCCCCGGTCCCCCCCCTTCTGCCAGAGACCCTCAGATCTGTCCCACTCCTGCCCAGGCCCCCACAGGCACCCTTGACGCGAATGATGCAGAGCTGGCCATGCCCACCCAGTAGGCCACACCCACTCCATCCACACCCACCCAGTAGGCCGCACCCACCCTGCCACACCCACCTGCCCCCCCCCCCCAGGGCAACCGCAATGCTGATGCGGCCCTCAAATGAAATTGAGTTTGACACCCCTGTTCTATAAAATTCCTTTATACATTACACCAGTGGTTCTCAACCTTTTCTTACCACGGACCCCTTATAAATAGCTTTTTTGGCTACGGATCTCCCAGACTCTTAAATCTTAACTTTAAATAATAAATAACACACACACACACACACACACACACACACACACACACCATGGAGAACTGACTGAGAACCAATGCTTTATACCATAATAGCAATGTTCCAATATCTCAGGGGCTGCCACAAAGAAGAGGGAGTCAAGCTATTCTCCAAAGCCCCTGAAGGCAGAACAAGAAGCAACGGATGGACACTAATCAAGGAGAGAAGCAACCTGGAATTAAGGAGAAATTTCCTGACAGAACAATTAATCAATGGAACAACTTTCCTCCAGAAGTTGTGAGTGCTCCATCACTGGAGGTTTTTAAGAAAAGGCTGGACAACCATTTGTCTGAATGGGCAGGGGGTTGGACTAGAAGACCTCCAAGGTCCCTTCCAATAATGTTATTCTTTCTGTTCTATTCCGGACAAATGGCTGTCCAGTCTCTTCTTAAAAACCTCCAGTGTTGGAGAACCCATCCACTGAGGCAACAGCAGCTGAAGAAGCAATTAAGAGGAGAAAAAAAAATGTTAAAAAGAGAACATTGAGAGGTAATACAAGTAGCTTTCAAGTTCTGACTGTAATTAGGCTCAACAATTACGGACGTAAATCCTGAAGGTCATTAAGCAGCTCATCATACAACCGGACCCAATTTTAGGACCTTTTTTATGGCAGTTGCTAAGTGAACATGACAGTCATAAAGCAAAGGATGCAGTCGTTAAGTGAATCCATTGTTCGCCAGGGGTCAATTTTTTCCCCAGAAACCAGAAGTAAATGCCAGTTTCCAGCAAAAATGTCATAAATCATGGTCCTGCTACCAATAAGTATAGATATGCCTCGGTTGCTGAGCCCGCAAAATGTGGTCACATGATTGTGGGGGAGGGGCAGACGTCAGAACTTTAAAACCAGGCCATAAATAGCTTTTGAGGGATTTGCCATAACTTTGAATGGCCATAAATCAAGGACTACCCATCAAAGCATCATTGGATATGGAATATGTGTGGATAGGCAGTAGTAAAAGAAGGCCAGGGATCAAAGGATGAAGGATGATAGGATCTGCTCAAAACTACAAATGAAGGACCATGAAGGGACTTTTGTGAAGATGTTTGATAAGCCTGGGGCTACCACAGGACAGACTTCAGGAATAGTCTTCAATAGTCTATAGTCGGAGTACAGAAGCCCTTGAGTATGGCACATAGATAGATCTTCTGTATGATGATCTGTCTTTCACCTGGTCCTCCAATTTCCCCCCAGATGTCCCCATTGTCTCTGTATCTGAGTCCATTCGCCTTGATAGTCGTGATCTTCGTTTTCCTTCCGTCTTTCCCAGCGTCAGAGCCTTCTCCAGAGAGCTGGGTCTTCTCGTAATGTGTTCAAAGTAGGATAATTTGAGTTTTCTGTGCCTCGAGTGCGAACTTTGAGTTGACTTCTTTTGATGATCCATCGGTTTGTTTTCTTGGCCACCCCATGGGGAAGTCCTTTCCAATACCAAAGGTCAAAGGCCGACTCATCCTTTTCTGCTTCTTTGAAGCGCAACTTCCACTTTGTCAGAGTATCGTAGGGAATACCATGGCATGCACAGTTCTGATCTTTGGAGGTATAGACCGGCGTTCCTCAACTTTTACAACCTTTATGTGGACTTCAACTCCCAGAATTCCTCAGTTAGCCAGGGAGAACCAGAAAAATTGACACTGTGTTTTGCTAGCCTGTTTCGCTACTCCTCCCTCTTGCTTTAAAAGAATAGCCAATCAGGAATGACTCCTAAAAAACCCACGACCTCTGGCTTTGGAAATGAACTACCCTTAGTCCTCATTTACCGACCACCTCCTCGAGCAACTGTTCTGAGGAAAAAAAATAACTCTGTAACCATTTCTCGCATTTACAACCTTCCTGGGTCTTGTCAAGCAAAAGAAAGCTGAAGTCAGATCAGAAAATCGTGATGTCGCCCTTGGCGGTGGCTTCCCTTAATGACTCACTGGCTCATTGTGGTCGCTAAGCAAGGACCCCTTGTGTTTGGTTAACATCTGTAAAGGTTTTTAATCTGCTGTGTTGTTGTTGTTGTTGTTTTACAGTGGATGATGTTAATGGTTGTTTCAATGTTTTTATGTTGCGAGCTGCCCAAGGTCGCTGGATACGAGATGGATGGCAAATAAACGTCATTTATTTACTTTATTTAATAAGTTTCACTTATTTTCAGTAATGAATGAACGAACGAAGGAACAAATGCATGCATTCAGGAATGAAAGCATCAAATTTTGTTTGCAAAGGCAAGCTGAAGTCTGCCTGCATTTCCTGCACGCTGGGGATCACTGGGAAGAGGCAAAAAGACAGCTTTGCTGCGTCTTTGGGCTGCGCCTGTCCCACGTGGGTCCCATCCACTCCCCGCCATCACTTCGTTCTGTGTTTCTTATAAACCTTGCTTTGGACCCTGTTCCCCCCCCCCCCGCCGCCCTTTCTGAGAAACCCCTGGCTGCATGAATGCAGGCAGGTGTTGGGGATGCGGTTTGATCATGGGAACTCAGCTGGTTTCCTCCGAATTCAGTGAGTAAAAGCTGTTGAAACGAAGCTGGGGTGTGCCGTGCAATGACGCTTCCGTGGTTCCAGGGAAAAGCACCGAGGACAGTGGTCTCTGCCTTGTGGGCATCTTGGTTTGTTGTGTGTTGACTTCCTCTGCAGGCGGGGGCCACTGCCCAGAAATGACCCCGCAGCTCAGCTGGCTTTCTCCACCCACCAAGCGTGGTAGAGACACTGTTCACAACAACAACGCAGGTCCCTGCAGCAGAAGCCTTGAACCCTGCATGTTCAATGTAGGGGTTGGATTTAAGTTTGGATTCAGAATCGGACTCGGATTTTTTTGAAATGTCGTTTGTGGGGCTGCCCATCTGAACAAGGGACTCTGGGTGGCGAACCGTCTTTTTAAAAAAGCCACTTTTTTTTTCATTTCTTACACTTTTTCCCTTTTCTAAGTTTCTTTCTTTCCTTTTTACTTCCTTACCTTATGTTAGTTGCATCACTTTTTTATCTTTTTGATCTAAAACTTTTAATAAAAATTCTAGACAGGTCTGTGCATATCAGGGTGCGTCTACTGGTGTGTGTGTGTGTGTGTGTGTGTGTGTGTGTGTGTGTGTGTAAATAAACCAGTTACAGAAAAACCCAGAGGCCTTAACTGCATAAATTTAGCTGCTGTTAAGGCACCAGGCTAGGAAGTGCGAGACCGTGAGTTCTTGTTCCGCCTTAGGCATGAAAGCCGGATGGGTGACTTTGGGCCAATCAGATAGAGAAACTAAGTTTTAGGCTCCCTTAGGCATGGAAGGTGACTGGGTGACTTTGGGCCAATGACCAGGAGACGGTGAGTTCTAGTCCCGCCTTAGATATGAAAGCCGACAGGTGACTTTGGGCCAATGACCAGGAGACAGTGAGTTCTAGTTCCGCCTTAGGCATGAAAGCCGGATGGGTGACTTTGGGCCAATCAGATAGAGAAACTGAGTTTTAGGCTCCCTTAGGCATGGAAGGTGACTGGGTGACTTTGGGCCAATCACCAGGAGACAGTGAGTTCTAGTCCAGCCTTAGATATGAAAGCCGACAGGGTGACTTTGGGCCAATTATCAGAGAAGCTGAGTTCTAGTCCCGCCTTAGACCTGAAAGCCGGTTGGGTGACTTTGGGCACCAGTTCCTTTTCCTCAGCCCAACCCACCTCACAGGGTTGTTGTTCCCTCAGCCCAACCCACCTCACAGGGTTGTTTCCTCATAGGGAAAAATAGAAGGGAGGAGATTGGGTTGGATATGTTCACCCCCCTTGGGTTAATTGTAGACATAATAACGATGGGCTATAAGTAAATAACAATAAGTAAACTCTCCACGTATTCCCTGGCAGTGATCAGCCTCTTTTCCTTCCCCAATGCCAGACCCCGTTACACTTGGCGGTCATCATAGCTCAACCTTCCCTGGTGAAGCTTTTACTATCCCACGGAGCATCACCCATGGTGCTGGACCGGAACGGACAAACTGCTCTGCATCTGGCTTGTGAACACGGCAGCCTCCGTTGCCTGCGGGAGTTGTTGGAGGGAAGTCCCGCCGGACTGGATCTGGAGGCCCGGAACTTCGAGGGTGAGGCCTGATGGGTTGATAGGATGAAATGGGATCCTTCAATCGTTCCAGCGGTTTAAGAGGTGGTAGTACAGGTAGTCCTCAGACTTACAACCATTCCTTTAGCGACCATCCAAAATGGTACTGAAAGGAGGGATTTCCTCATGCTTACAACGATCCTAGCATCCCCATAGTTATGGGATCCAAATTCAGACGCTTGGCAACTGACTCACCCTTATGACGGTTGCAGTGTCCCGGGTTATGGGATCCCCTTTTGCGACCTTCTGACAAACAAAGTCAACGGGGAGGCCAGCTCCACTTAACAGCTGTGTCACTAACTTAACAACAGCAGCGATTCGCTTAGCAACTGTAGCAAGAAAGGTCGTAAAATGGAGTCAAACTCATGTAACAAAGGTCTCACGTAGCAACAGAAATTTTGCCCTTATTTGCGGTCGTACGTCGAAGACTGCCTTTAGTTGGAAACACTGACAAAATGGCAAGTGGACAAGGACTGTTTTTGTTTTTAAAACATCCCTATTGTGTTCCCCATCCCCTTTTTTGTCTTTAACTAGGTTTTACCCCGCTACATTTAGCGGTTGGATCTTCTAACTCTGACATGGTTCTTGCTTTGCTGGATCATGGAGCAGATGTAGATGCTGTGGTAAGCACGGAGTTCAAGAGGATATTGTCAAGCGTGCGGGAAATCAGGAGATTCAGGAAGTTCAATGAGTATAAAGATGTATTGCAAGCTTAAGCTCTCTATAAAAATCTGGCCCACTGACCATTAAGGGAAATGTGCGGGAGATAAGAAAGGCATCCAAGGTGGGCTGGATTTCGATTTCTTGCAAGCTCGCAGGGACTTAGGTCTAATGATGCATTTGACCCCCCACCTCCCTCGGGCTCAGCTTGGGTCTCATCTCCTACAGATATTGGGTATTGCTCATTTTGATGGTATAGGAAGGAGGAAATGAACTGGAGGACCTTGCATGAAAACTCCACTGATCTCTCCAATTGATTACAGCTATGAATAATTCAGGGTGAAATGTAGAGACCCGTTTGGCAAACCGCAAAAATACACGATATGTTGCATGTATTGTTTTAGTGAAACTCGGGATGGTTAAAAGAAACCCGGGAGGTGTTCTGATTAATGGGAAAGTTTGTTTTACAAAAGTAAACAAAAAAAAAAAAGAATTTTAAATGAATAAGCAGAGGAAGAGTTCCTTTTTCATTCCGAGAGAGGATTGTGGAATAGGAAGTTACATTTCAAACAACTGAATTGTGCAGGACTGAAATTTTAAAAGGGAATATTTGAGAAGACGGAGGGAATGTCTTAAGACAAGAAAAGGCCCATGGTAGAGTTGAGTGGCTATATTTTGGTGTGATACCATCTTACTTTTAATAATTTTTTTATGAGGGGATTAATGAATTTGAAATAAAATTAAATCTTTACCCTTCAAGTTTAGCTCTTCATTTTTATTATGTTTGCCTACCTGCAAACATGCATTTTTCCCTAGTGTACAAGACTGGGAGTTTGCTGTACAACAGAATCAAATTGGAATATAGCAAATTATTATTTTTTTCATGAGAAGTTACGAGGCCCCAATATGTTACCTGTTTCAGAGTTATTGGTTTCCAACAGTGTTTGCCGCAATTTCTATGGGAATTCAGACTTCAGAGCGTTGGCTAATTTTTTTATGAGGGGTTAATGAATTTGAAATAAATTGCTAGTGTGCAAGACGAGGAATTTACTGTACATCAGAATTGCATTGGAATATCGCAAAATTATTATTTGTTTCCATGAGACCTTAAGAGGCCCTAATCCATTACCTGTTTCAGAATTACTGGTTTCCAACAGTGTTCCCCACTGTTTGTATGGGAATTCAGATTTCAGAGCATCAATACTAATGTTTACTACTGTTTTTTAAAGAGTGAATGGAGAAAAGGGAAAGAATCATGGTCTCCAAATTGTAAATTTCATTAATGTTCCCAACATGATACCAATAATGGTGCCCATTTTCACCAACCCTGATTGACTCCTGTTTTTAGGACATAAAGAGTGGCAGATCTCCACTACTTCATGTTGTGGAGAACAATAATTTGGATATGGTGGAGTTGCTACTACAGGTAAGGATGCTTTGCCTTCTTGAGAAAATCCCCTTTTGCTTCAAACTTTTTTGAAAAAAAAAAATTACAAAACTGCATTGACAGCAATTGTTCGATTCCTATAAACAATAGTTTAGCACAAGCTATATGGAAAGATTAAGCTAAAGCAAGCAAAGCTGTGTTTCTCAAACCTGGCCACTTTAAGCTGTGGGGACTTTAACTCCCAGAATTCCCCAGCTGGACATGTTGAGTTGAAGTCCACTCAGCTTAAAGAGGTCAGACCTGAGAAAATAATGACAAACTTCCACCTGCAAACCATAGTTTGTTTTATCATCTGGGTCAATGAATAGGATACCACAACTCAGTACCCATGACTTTAAATGCTGCTTGTTCGTAATAAACCATTGTTAACATAACAAGGTTTTCAGCTTCTGGCAGGAGAAAACCACAGCGTGGCAGAAAAGTTGTAAACACCACCTTCCTGCATAAATAGGGGCATTGTAAACCAATCAAGCCTAAGGACTGGCAAATACAAAATTTATCCCCGAGCAAATAAGGAACAGTCTCAGCTTTTCATTTCCTCAAATGTTCTGAAATCTTTGCCAACATGCATGCATGCAGAATTTCTGCAAGCTCCATTGTTGGTGCATCCTTAAAATGTGTGTGTGTGTGTCTTGTGCCCATTTTACAGCACGGTGCCAATGTAAACGCCCAATCCTACGGAGGCAATACGGCGCTCCACACAGCCAGCGGAAGGGGCCTGTTGGACATGCTGAGGCTCTTGGTGAGGAACGGGGCAGACGGAGGCCTGAAAAATTACCACAACGACACAGCCCTGATGGTAGCCAGGAACAAAAGGGTAAGATGACACTACGGAGTGAATTTGCCTATGTCTGATTAAGAACAACAGTACAACAAAGTCCCCAACTTACAACGGTTCCTTTAGTGACCGTTCAAAGTTACGACGGCACTGAAAAAGGGACTTACGACGATGTTTCACACTTACAACTGAGCAGCAGCCCCACGGTCACGTGTCCCAAATTCAGACGCTCAGCAACTAACTCGTATTTATGACGGTTGTAGCGTCTCAGGGGGCCACGCCATCCACTTTTGTGACCTCCAAATCTGGGGAAGCCAGATTCACTTAACAACCATGTTACTAACTTAACGGCTGCAAGGATTCACTTAACAGCTGTGGCAGGAAAGGTCGTAAAATGGGGTAAAACTCGTTTAGCAAATGTCTCGCTTAGCAATGGAAATTGTGGGTTCAGTCTTGGTTGTGTGTTGAGGACTCCCTGTACTCTGAACGGCATAATGGGGCCAATTTTGTAGGGGCTGGGAGCAGATGAGGGACCCCCTGCAATGAATTAGAGGCGTTCATTCACTTACAATGGTATAGAGGCCATTTTAAGGGACAATCGCTGAAAAAAGTGAGTTATGATCGTTTTTCACACTTAACGACCGTTGCAGCATCCTCATGGTCATGTGATCAAAATTTGACCATTATATTGTCCCAGGGTCATGTGATCTACCCTAACCTTCCCAGCTGGGGGAAGCCAGATGTGCTTAGTGACCGTATAGTTCAGGGCTAGGCAACCTTGGCTCTTTTATGACTCGTGGACTTCAACTCCCAGAATTCCTGAGCCAGCATGGCTCAGTTTGGACACCTCTCCCTTTCCCGTTAGCATGGCTGGCTCAGGAATTCTGGGAGTTGAAGTCCACCAGTCATAAAAGAGCCAAGGTGGCCTACCCCTGGTATAGTTCAACAACTGCAGTGATTTGCTTTACAGCCATGGCAAAAATGGTCAGAAAATGAGGAAAACTCATTTAACAGCCGACATTTGGGGTTCATAAGTTGAGGACTACCTATAATTACAGCCTTGAAGTCTAAAAAAGGGGGTCCACAGTTGATTTTTCAGGGTCTATACCTCATGATTATGGAACGTATTTTAGGTGGGAAATGATGAAACCACGTGAATTGGCGGCACATAAAAAGTGTTTATCAATTCATAAATTTTCAGGCCCAGTCAGTAAGAGAAAGGAAAGAAAATTAAATCACATTGTCGATGTGTCCAACGGTTCCCGTGCTCCATGGGGGAATATTTAGCCTGAGGAAAATATTATCCCAGAAATGTGGACAAGGACTTCAAGAGAGACACAAAGACACACACTTTCTCTTGTGACAAAGGACAGGAACAGAATACACATGGTGTTCACAAGGGCAGGGAATGTCATTCAGGTCCAACTGGTTAAACCGTTTCCTCAGAGTTAACAACAGGACAAGACAAGAGGTGCATCTTTGGTGTAAATGCAGTGGGGCTAGCGTAGGGGATTTCCCCCACGGATCGTCACCGGGATTCGTTACAGGTAATCCTCGAATTACGACCACAGTGGAGCCCAAAATTTCTGTAGCTAAGTGAGGTGTTAAGTTTTGCCCCATTTTATGACTTTTCTTGTTACAGTTGTTCAGCGAAACAGGGTTGTTAAATGAGTCACTGGCTCCCCCCATTGATTTTGCTCACCAGAAGGTTGACCAATGGGGATCACGTGACACCATGTGACACTCTGCAACCGTCATAAATACAAGTCAGTTGCCAAGTGTTCTGAATTTTGATCACGTGACCACAGGGAAGCTGCAACGGTCGTAAGCGTGAAAAATGGCCGTAAGCCATGTGCAATATCGAACAGTCACTAAGTGAACTATTGTAAGTTGAGGACTACCTGTAGTAGTAGTAGTAGTAGTAGTATTTATGCAGTGTCTATTGGAGGTGGTTACCCTTTGAGAGCTGTATGCAACGAAATCTTTTAATGTCTGGTGATTAATGTACATTTAAAGTGACAATAAAGTTATTGTTGTAAAAAAAAAAGGTATAAAATTTTTATTCATCTCCTCATCTTTCTACTCTCCAGGCGATCGACATCCTGAGGGGAAAGGCTTCCCGGCCTATTCCGCACCCCGAAAGCAGCCATGATGGATCGTCCCCCACAATCAGCGCTGCTAGCTCTCCTGGCGTTCGGACCCATCCCCGTGAGTAAGCTCCCCTCCCCCCCAATTAGGCATCCTGGGTTTTCTGCCATGCTTGATCTCGATTCAGAACCGGGTGGGAAGGGAAGACAGCCCTGGACACGGTCCAGTTGGAAATAGAGGAAGTTCTCAACTTACAACATTTCACTTAGTGACCATTCAGAGTCACAACAGCCCTGAAAAAAGTCCTCGTGCTTGCAACCGTCACAGTCACGTGACCAAAATTCGGGTGCTTGCAACTGGCCTGTATTTATGACGGTTGCGACATCCTGGGGTCATTTGCGACATTCCCAGCCAGCTTCCAACGAGCCAAATTATGAAGCTGGATTCATGGAATGAATTGCATGATTCACTTAAGTACTAAGGCAAAATAAATAAATAAATAAATAAATCTCACAATTGGACATAACTCACTTAACAACCACCTTGCTTAGCAACAAGATTCTAGTCCCAACTGAGGTTATAAGCAAAGGAAACACCCCGCCCCCCAGTATATTGAACCCTTAGAATTTAGGAACAAGCAAAGGTTCTATTTTGCTCCTGAATCAATCCAGCTGTTCCATCGGTGGCAACAGCTGTGAGATCCTGTTGTCAAGAAGAAACATGGACCATGTTGATGTTCCTCAAAATAACTTGTGCCCATGAACAATACAGCATTGCGTAGCTCCTTAATTAATTCCCATTTAGTGCACGGTAAATCCTTCTTCCACCTCAGAGGTGTCCAAACTCGGCAACTTTAGGACCTGTGGACTTCAACTCCCAGAATTCCCCAGCAATTCTGGGAGTTGACGTCCACAAGCCTGTATAAGGGAATTCTGGGAGTTGAAATCCGCAAGGGAATTCAAGGGAAGTCCACGCGTTTTCAGAAGAGAATTCTGGGAGTTGAAGTCCACAAGTCTCAAAGTCCCCCTGCTTTACCTCAACTATAAAATTGTAATCTGTATCGATTTCATCAATAGATTGCCCTACTAACCGTGCTTTTGTCTCCCTTCAGACGTGCTGCATGCCTCCCCTGACTCCTGCTCCACCATTCCCAGCCCTGACCAGACCCCAAAGCCGCACAGAGCAGGCCATTCTCCCAACACAACCGCTCTGAGGCCAGAAAGCATTATCGTGACGAATGAACCTTTGACCTCTGCCCCCTTGCCCGGCGTGGAATTGGAGAGACGTTCCCATTCATCCACCCTAGAGCAGCCGATGGGCTTTCCAAGGTCCTCCAAGGGTCTCCTCCGTGAGAACATGACCGATCCTGCCTTCCACACCGTACCCCTGTACCCCTTTTCTCCTTCCAGCCCTCATCTCTCCTCCCATCCTCTCCAGTTGCTTCCGATGGGCCTGAACCATCCGGTCATATCCATGCCCCCGGGGCCCCTGGCTAATCGGATGTCCATGAGGTACCCAGGGATGGACCAATCGCAGAGGCTACTGGATTCAGAAGGTCCGGCAGTTCTTGGCTGCGAAGGCCAGTGGCTCCATAGCAGTGACAATGGCCCTGGCGGCAGCTGACGAGAGGAAGTCCAGAGGCCTTCAGCTGCTTTGCGGGACAGGAAGATTTCCCAAGGACCATTTCACAAGACCGCAAGAATGAGTCGAGGCGTTGCTGCCGTGGATTTCCCACCTTCATGTCGGCTGCGGACTTAAAACTATCTTTCTTTTCAAATTGACATGTAGCAGAGCCCAGCAAGGCAGAGATGTCCGTTCGGACCTCAAAAAATAACGGTGGTGTTCTTGATCCAGCAACAGCTCCCTCTTTGTCAATCTCTTTGAATGTACCTCATACACCCCACTGTCTGAGCAGAACCTGGGTTGGACCAATTTTGGGGTGAGTGTTCAGGGGACGCGCCATGACTCAACGGTTAAAGATACTGAGTGTATCGGCTGAAAAACTGACGGGTTCGCCATGGGTGAGCTCCCGTTCCTTGCTCCAGCTCCTGCCCGCTAAGCAGTTCGAAAGCATGCAAATGTGAGTAGATAAACGGGTAAGAAACGGAGATGAGCACCACGCCAGACACGACTGGACAGGGAAACTTTACCTTTTGTTGAGGGATCATGTTTTAGCACCAGGAAGAGGAGCTGGGAAACACAAAATCTAAAGCCGTTCCACTCCTCTCAGCTGAGGGCCAGACTTTGGGCGAAATGGCGCAAGCGTCGCGCGAGGGGGGGATAAATCGACTTTGTTCTTTGTATTTAATAGGCATTAATTTAACTGAGTGAAGTTAGCACGGTCACTCCACCTATATTTAAGCCTTGTGGCGTGTATTGTATTCGGCATTGCAATATGACGATGGCACCTTGTGTGGGGTTGCTGGGGACTGTTTACAAGTGGAATTGCGTGCAGGGACAAATGCAGATGGAGTAAAAGAAGAGTTGGCAGCCGCGAGGCTCTCCCTGAGACGCCCCGAATTGCACGTGTGTGTGTGTGTGTACAGGTTGTCCTCCACTCATGATCACAATTGAGACCAACATTTCTGCTTGGTGAGACATTTGTTACGTTTTGTCCCATTTTACGACCTTTTCTGCCACCGTTGTTAAGCAGATTCTGCAGCTGTTAAGTGAGTAACCCGGTTGTTAAGTGAATCTGGCTTCCCCATGGACTTTGCTTGCCAGAAGGTCGCAAAAGGGGATCACGTGACCCCGGGGAACGCCGAAACCGTTTCAGTTCCCAAGCGCCTGAATTTTGATCACATGGCTTTGGGGATGCTGCAAAGGTTGTAACTGTGAAAAATGTTCGTAAGTCACATTTTTCAGTGCTGTTGTAACTTTGAACGGCCGCTAAACCAACTGTCGTAAGTCGAGGACTACCTGTATTTAACACACATAGTCTTTGTGGGGGGATCAAATGCCAGTTCTTCATCCCATCTTCAACTGGGACATTTTGGTGGACAAGGAAAGTGAGGATGATCAAGGCAGGAAACTAGGCACGTCCAGAGTAAAAATCCCATTTTCCTTAGATCTCTTTATTTTAGTTCCCCCTCCTCCGATATTGATTCCTTTTCACCATGATTGATCTTATCCACTCTTTAAATATTATTTAAATTGAAATGACCAGCAGTAGCTACAGAGAAGGGGTCATGAAAGAAAGACCGTAGGAAGAGGGCAGAGGAGAGCAGCAAAGATAATCAGGGGTCTGGAGGGTAAATTATATGATGAATGATTGAAGGAATTAGATACGTCTAGTTCAGGGATAGACAACCTTGGCTCTTTTATGACTGGTGGACTTCAACTCCTAGAGTTCCTGAGCCAGCCATGCTGAGGGGAAAGGGAGAGGTTTCCAAGCTGAGCCACGCTGGCTCAGGAATTCTGGGAGTTGAAGTCCACCAGTCATAAAAGAGCCAAGGTTGCCTACCTCTGGCCTAGACCTAGGCCACTTTATGACTGGCAGACTTCAACTCCCAGAATTCCTGAGCCAGCATGGCTCAGCTTGGAAACCTCTCCCTTTCCCCTCAGTGTGGCTGGCTCAGGAATTCTGGGAGTTGAAGTCCACCAGTCATAAAAGAGCCAAGGTTGCCTACCCCTGGTTTAACAAAGAGAAGGACAAGGGGTGACATGATAGCAGTCTTCCAATATCAAAAGGGCTGCCACAAGAAAGAGGGAATCAACCTATTCCCCAAAGCACCTGAAGGTAGGACAAGAAGATGGAAGCTTATCAAAGTGGGATCCCACCTAGAACTAAGGAGAATTTACTTATCGGGGAGAACAATTAATCAGTGGAACGGCTTCTGTCCAGAAGTTGTGGGTGCTCCATCACTGGAGGATTTCAAGAAAGGTGGACAGTCATTTGTCCATCATGATACAGGCTCTCCTGCCTGGGGCAGGGGGCTGGACTCACTAGAAGACCCCCAAGGACTCTTCCAACCCAGTTATTCTGCGTCCTATGATTTCACGCACATACACCTTCTCTTAGAAATTGCTAAAGCTGCAAGCCTCCGCGGTGTGTGGTGTGTCTCCGACCAATGGTGAGATTGTGAATTGCACAGCCGTGAGCAAATGGAACCGGAGCCAAGAGGAACCCAACTGTTATCTTCAGCTTTGAAAAATAGATCTTTCCCAAGAAGACCCAGGAAGGCTGACTCATTTTGTCAGTTCTCCCGGCTCTTTCATCATAACAAGGTTGGGGAAAAAAAAAAAAAAGAAATAGCTGCACCTTGGAACAGGGAGAAGAACCAGAACGGTAAAAGTTGCTTGGAAAAGAAGGGGAGACTGGGGGGATTTCCAGAAACCGTCTAGGTGGAATGTTGGGTGCATTTGAAGCAGTGAAATTTCAGAAACTCCCAGGCTGATCCTAGTCATGGGGGAGGAAGTTGTAGAGCTAGGAGGCTGAGTCAGTGCGGTGGCGATGATTGGAAAGCAAGAAAAAAAAAGTGGAATGGCTCTTGAACGGGACAAATAGGGATATGATAATGATAGTGAAGCCAGCGTGACATCCATTTTGTAGGCAGGGCATTCTAGATTCAACATCTCCAGGAAGCCGTGGGAAACTGAAATAAATCCTGGAGAATCGTGGCTAGTTATATGTATGTCCGTGTAGACAACAATCATCCAGGCCCAAGTTATCAAAAAGGTTGAATCAGGGCAACTGGGCCAGAATTTGTTAATCGGAGATGTTTCGTTGCTCATCCAAGCAATTTCATCAGTCAGAATAAAAAGTTAAATAGGCAGAGGGTCACTGGAATATGTACCAACTCTTGTCACATCAACTTCAAGCTTTTCACTCCAAAATGAATTGCAACATGTCAACAGACTCAATCATCCGGGCCAAAAGTAGCTAAAAGGTTGGATTGCGGCAACTGGAGCAGAATTTGTTAATTTGGTAATCTGAGATGTTTCATCACTCGTTCAAGCAACTTCATCAGTGGTGATTTGAAATGAAATGGCAGGCTAGGCTGACTGGATAGTCCCTTTGCAAACTCCTTCCTTTTGTGTAGGGCTAAAAAGTGCACAGTTGGCACCTTGGTTTCACTTGGTTGTCCATCTGGGTCAGGGGTAGGCAACCTTGACTCTTTTATGACTGGTCTCAGGAATTCTGGGAGTTGAAGTCCACGGGTCATAAAAGAGCCAAGGTTGCCTAACGCTGATCTGGGTTATCCTGAGAAGAATTGCCTTATGGGATGCCCAGTCCTATTTGCTAGTAGTAGATAACAGTCTAGTGTTTCCCAACCTGCACAATGTTAAAATGTGTGGACTTCAACTCCCAGAATTCCCCAGCCAGCATGCCTGGACTTCAACTCCCAGAATCCTCTATCCAGCACGCATGGTTTTCAACTCCCAGATTTACCCAGCCACTGTACTATCTAGGGCAGTGGTGGCAAACCTATGGCACGGGTGCCAGAGGCGGCACTCAGAGGCGGCACTTTCTGTTGGCACACGCACCACCGCCACCAGCAGCAGGTCCATCAGGCCGCCACCGCCGCCCGGAGCAGGAGCCCCACCCAGCACAAAGGAGGTGAAGCAGCCGACTAGCAAGCTCGAGTAGAGGTGGTAGAGCAGAGGTCACCAACCATTGTCGATTGGTGGGCTGGAAGAAAAGGGAGGGGGGACCCTTTTACATGCGCGCATGCGCACACGGGACCGCAAGCACGCACGTGCTGCAAACGGGGCGGGGCTAGTGCCTGCGTGATACTCACTAGCCCTGTCCCGTTCTTGCGTGGTGCAGCGCCTTGTATCTGCACCCTATGGTGCGGCGGCAGCTATTTTTGTGCCTTGCAGCACGGTGGCTCATTTTCGCGTCCCTGTTTTTTGCGTGCCAGAGGCGGCACTCAGAGGCGCCTCCTGCCCCCCCCCCTCCGAGGGCACCACAATGCTGATGTGGCCCTGGCACTTTGTGATAAATAAGTGGGTTTTGGGTTGCAGTTTGGGCACTCGGTCTCTAAAAGGTGCACCATCCTAGGGACTTCTGGGAGTCGAAATCCACACATCTTAACGTTGCCAAAATTGGGGGACACTGGCCTAGACAGACCAAGGATTCTTCTCCTTTAGTACCGTGCCCTCTGTTCTGTTGCTACTAACTTTTCTGCTCCTTAAGTAGCTCTTCCCTTCCCTTAAATAAGTAGCACCCGTCCTTTGATGGGGGACCATTACTTGAAAAATAAAGGTCCTCGGACCGTCCCCTGTTAGAACGAAGGCAGGCAATCGGAGGGGGCCTTGTGTTTATATTTGAATCTGTCAATAAAATATTTTTTTCTACTTTCAAAGCTGTGCCTGTGTTTTTCTTGTTATGGCGAGAGAGAAAGGAAGGCCAGCCCCAGGGGAGGGAAATGATGCAACCTTAGGGGTTTTCTCTCTCTCTTTCTCTCTCTTTTTTTTTTTTTAGCAAGACAGCAATTCTGCGAATTCACACCATCTGTGCCAGTTCACTGGAAGTGGACTCTTCGAGGAGACAGCGTCATTCTGCAAGCGCAAATGCTTGCCGAAGCATTTTGAGACATTTGAATAAGCTTTGCCAACCAGGGCCCATGCAAATCGTAATGTTTCCTCCTGATGCTCGGCTGGGTGTGCCTGCTGTGGATGACCTGCCTGGTTCCCAGAAAGATCTTCCCGCTGCCAGGAAGGTCCCAAGAAAATACAAACCGTAGACCTGGAAGACTAGAAGGGCGGTGAAGATGCAGGGACAGTCCCAGTTCTTCCTAGTTGTCCTAAGGCACAGAGTCTCTTACTCCGGAATGGATCTCCTTCAGATCTCCTTCGCTCTGGAGACCAGCCTTCCATGGTCCTGAAAAGGGAGGAAGTGGCTTGTCTAGAAGATGGCCTGAACTTTTGGGGACTAGAATTCTCCGCTGTGTTTTCCCAGCCGTTCTATCAGCTCCCTGGCCAAATCCAATTGAAATTCAATGGTGAAAAAAGGAAGGTTCTACATTTAGGCAAGAAAAACCGAATGTACAGGTATAGTATAGGGCAGGGGTAGGCCACCTTGGCTCTTTTATGACTGGTAGACTTCAACTCCCAGAATTCCTGAGCCAGCTGTGCTGAGGGGAAAGGGAGAGGTTTCCATGCTGAGCCATGATGGCTCAGGAATTCTGGGAGTTGAAGTCCACAAGTCATGAGGGGGCCATAGTTCCCCCATGCTGGCTCAGGAATTAGTAATAGTAATAGTAGTAAAGTTGGAAGGGACCTTGGAGGTCATCTAGTCCAACCCCCTGCTCAGGCAGGAAACCCTACACCATTTCGGACAGATGGCTGTCCAGTCTCTTCTGGAAGTTGAAGTCCACGAGTCATGAGGAGGCCACAGTTCCCCCATGCTGG